TAAAGGTAATTTATCTTTAATCAAATCTCTACCTTTACCATTACCTTTTACCATTTTACCTGGTAACCCTAAAAGTTTACCTTACCTTGCCGAGGCCTAGGGGTGGGTCTGGGCTGCCGTTTCATCGGCATGATCGCTTGCTCGCTTTCCTCTCTGTCTACACCTCATGGACGGCTACAGAAGCTCCAACGTGGCTTCTTAGTTGAGCGAGTCCAAGCATGTCAGCAAACCTAAGGCGGTGAAATTGAAAACATGGAGTGCTTCGAGTCCTTGGATGACGCAAAGAAGAAAATAGCCACTGATTTGAGGAGCAAGAGCCCTCAGTATGAGGTGGTTTTGTTTACTTCAAAGACTCGACCATCAAGCAATAAGTTGTGGAAGCGCATGGGTCAAGTAGTAAAGAAGTCCAATGACGAGTAAAAGTGCCTCGAGGTGCCAGTGGAAGTGAATGGAAAGTGAGGGGTCAAGAAGTTGTACTTCTATGCGTGCATCAATCCCACTTGCTTCACAATCTACATATGCAACTCTAGAGATGGTACTAGACCTCTGCAAGGTAAGGTAACCTTTTAGGTTACCCGGTAAAAGGGTAAAAGGTAAAGCTATAGGTAGAGGTTTGGCTATAAGGTAGGGTAAAGGTAAGGTAAAAGTAGAGCCATATGGGTTACACTGTAATTACCGGGTAACCTCTTACCCGCGAAAATTACAAATGTGGACACTCTCAAAATTATTCAGAATGCAATTCTGCACATTTTACTAAAACGATCGAGGTAAACTATACTAAACAGGTAAATTACCTTTAACTTTTACACTATAAGGTCGAGGTAATAGGTAATTACCGGGTAACCTTGATCTTTAACCCTTTAGGATAGAGGTAATAGGGTAATTACCCGGTAATCCTGATGTAAAAGTAACTTTTTAACCTTTAAGAATCCGTATCAGGTAACCCAGTAATTACCCTGAGGTAGAAGTAAAGTGTAAAGGTAGACAATAGTGACACGAGTAAGGTAAAAGGTAGGGTAAAGGTAGAGGCTCATGGTTTACCCGGTTACGTTTTACCTTACCTTGCCAAGGCCTAGATGTTACGTCGTCAATGAGTGCCCACTCATGCTCACGTACAGCTATTGCAGCTAATTCAGGTAGCTTACTTGTTAAGGGTACCAAACGTGGACTGCCGACTAACTTCGTCAAGGCTAGTATGACCAATTCCCTAGTGAACCTGTGTTCGTGGGACATGCGTCCGTTCGCGATTGTGGAAGGCAGGGATTCAAAAATGTTATCCAAACAACTTTGGATATCGGCTTTGCGAGCAAGACCCCGCTTTTCGCTAATGACTTACTTCAGTCCCGACATACCGTAAAGCGCAAGACTATGGACCGTTTCGACAAGGGCATCGTGAAACTTTAGGTCATCTCGCACAATCATTTCAAGGACAGTGGACGTGCTGCATTTTCTATAGACATTTGGATAGACAATGTCCCACAGACAGCATACAGTGCGGACACCATGCACCTGATTGACGATTATTTTGTCTTGCATGCCCAAGTCGTGTCATGTGATGCATTCAGTGAAGGCACGAGTCACATCGCATTAGTGATTCATTGTGACTTCGTTAAGAATGTCTGCCCTTTCATATCTTGGAAGGATGATAATGTTACCGTTCAGGCGGCGAACTGGCAGGTGTTTGTCAAATCCGATGCAGCGTCAAACAATACGGGAGCAGAAGGCATGTCATCGCAATTCAAGATGGGTCTGTGTTTTTGCCATCGCATTTTGACCCGCATCAGCGATGTATTGAGGAAGCAGATGCACGTGGTGGACGGCATCAAATAACCACCTGCATACCTCTTCTACGACAAGAGTGAAATTGTCTTTGATATGATCGATGATTCAAAGGCGCTGGTCACCTACATGAAGCAGAAGTATTTGAACAGGGAACTGAAGCATAAGATGAAGCAGGACGTGCCAACACGCTTTGATGGTCTCCTTATCATGCTTCAGTCTGTGGTTGCCGAACTTGATGAAGCCATCAACTTGTTGAAAAAGAAGAAACAAGAGAATCGCGCCGAGAAGATCTATGCTGAGGTGCTGGAAGAGCTCATTCAATTGTTGAACTACTTCAAGTTGGCTAGCAAGTCCCTAGAGCCATTCAATACACCGACTCTCCATCTCCTCGGTATATGGCTGGCCAAACTAAAGACCCATCTTCAGCCGCGTGATGAACCCGTTTCTGTGGACGGCGCCAACGATGAAAAGGTGACAATTTTCGCTGATAGTGAAAATATTGCCCCCATCAAGAAGTTTTGCTCGATCAGCTCAAGGAGAAATATGTTCTGAAACCTCTCCACGCTGCCGCTACTTACCTGGATCCGCTACAAAAGAACTGTCTGAAAGACGATGGCTTTACTCAATAGTTGATCGATCAAGGGCATGTTTATCTCAAGTACATTATGTGCAAGGTTGGAGCACCAAAGCTAAAAGTTAAGTCCATGTGTGGTGGTAGACGTCCTTCATTGGCCAAGACAAATTCTCTCAAGAGGCCACGCACCGTAGTTCTCAACGTTGGCCCGAATCGAGAGGACTCTGACGATAATGAATCAGTTGAAGATCATGATGAGCCAGTCGAAGATTCCCAGCTTGAAGCTTCGATCGATGCCGAATTGGCTGAATATCGATTACTCAAGGTTTCCAAGAACGACAAAGTTATTCTGCTACAGCCAGACACCCAAAAGAGAGCCCGATCCGACGGCGATATTAAGCATGACGTCAGCCTACTTCCATGGTGGTGATTAATGTCCACCGAATATCCAATTTTGGCCCGGACAGTTCGAGCGATATTGTGTATCCCGGCTTCAAGTTCCATATCATAATGCACATTCTCAAGTGCCGGCAACACACGCAGTGAAAAGCGTAGCTTGTTGAATCCCAGCACACTCAACGCCCTTCTCTATTTCCGCTCTAACCAGGACTTAGATAGCTGCAAATAATTTGTTTTAAGCCAAATACAGACATGGAATACTGCGGCTACTTGGTGCCATATTGGTAAGGAAGCCAGGCATGGCTACGGCCAAAACATTGTGGAGATGTGGGCCTACGGCTGCGGCTGCCATATTGGGGATGAATAGGGCGACTACGGCTGCGGCCTAGATTTCCCTTTGAGTAAATCCCACAGGATGCATGATTTGCACTGATGCGGAGCTTGAGAGGTGTTAATACCCACTCCACACCCCAGCACGTTTACCAAGCTGCTCATCCTTCTCGCCAGCCCAGCACCGGCTGCCACCAGGGTGCCATCGAAGTCAAAAACCATAGACAGATTGCCGAGGTTCTCATGAATCTTCTTGAGCTGGGATACGCCTGCAGCAAAACAAACCGTAAGCAAATCCAACGGAGCAGCAAAATGCAACCACAGCAAAAGCCGATGAAAGAAAAACATACCACGAGAATGGCGCGTGATTGATGCCCGCTCTACCTGAGCACCAAACGCCGAGCCAGTTGCACAAGGACCCTGCCTCGAGGCAGAGCAACCCCAAATAGCAGAAGCGTAATCAAGAAAGACGACATAGCTGATCATCACAGAACGTGAGCTTCGTTAAAGAGAGGATTTAAAGATAAGCAGACACAGTAACAAACTGTCAGACCCATCAGCCCTTATATGCAAGAGCCAGTGGTTAAGAAGGAAAAACAATTCCAAAACAAAACAAAACAAGTGTGGAAGAATAAAAGCTGTTTTTTTGTTTATTTATTGTGACTTTGTAGATTCTTCCACATGATTGTTGCATCAACATTAATATGCTTCTAGAGACAGTGATTTTTCAAATATTTATTTTACCATTGATGCCAAAATATATCCTTAGATGATTCCATTCGTGATGCAGCGTTCAAGGTGAAACATCACTATGAATATAATATGTAACGATATTATATGCTGAAAATAATTAAAAATTAAAATATATATGGATGGCTTTTAACATTGAAGCTATAATCATCAAAAGTATTTTATGCGATTATTAGAATTTGAAATTGTAATCATTCAAATTCATTGGAAAAATAAAAAAACAAGATGAGCACCTTTTAGTCAAATATAACGATATGCACAAATTACTTAACGACTTCTTTAAACATTACAATCATATGATATCGTAACGAATGCACGATCATTTGTCAAACTATTTGAAAATTTAAGTATTATCTCTAATCTATACACAAAAAAATTTGAATAGTTGCTTTCATCTGTTTAAAGATTTCTCATAGAGATCAATTATTTAGATGTAAATAATCTATATACTGCAATCCTCCATTCCTCTCTACGGTCATTCTCATCCAAACAACGTCGGATCGTCACGTCGAACGTCAACTAAAACATGAATCCCATAAGGTTTTTTGATTGTACAATTTCCTTGTGATCTCTCCGCATCTTGATATTTTCTCTCCATCACTCTAGAAAACTTCAATATTTCGTCATAAATTATTGTTATTATCGTTTGTCAAAATAAACAACATACATTCCAAAATATTCCCATATACATAACGAGAATGAGTTTGGTCCAAGTTCCAAACTCAATTTCAGCATTTTCTATTCGCATAGGGATAACGTCTATATGTTGACATAGCTTCATGATTGTGCAAAGAGAGCGCTTCGGATCTCTTTAACCCCGCCGCCAACACCTTTCATCTGGGACAAGCATACCGCAATTCATCTGAAGAATCTAAGTATGAGCATCTGCTCATACTTTGATGCCTTCATGCTTGCTCATACTCATACCATCTTGAGACCAGAAATTACCCTTTCTACTACTCATCATATATATCCCATTGCGGCATTTGTGAAACTCGTTCAACCATCAAAAGAGACTCCAAACGAAGAACACTACACTCACTTCATAAATCGACAGGTTTTCGGTGGTAACCAGCAAGTGAACAAGTGTAAGCGAACCACACTGCCAAGTAACACAAACAGAGAATATAAGAGCACCAACGAAGATATCGAACTCAGTTGAAGGTAGCACTTTCTGAATAATGACAAGACTTGATAGATCTTATTCTTCAAGTCATAATGACAATTACAGATAAGTATTTCAACGAAGCTTCTGGCAGTTCTCATTTTACACTGAAAACTAGATGACATGTGTCCAACTTTAGCCTAAATTGATCAATCTAGGCTTAAATCCTTTACATGGGTCCACGTATGTGTAGACAATCTACTTGGCGAAAAAGTCATTGGCTTGCCAAGATGTACTAAGCAATTTCACGATGACTTCGTCTGCTTGCACCAAAAGGGTTTCTGCGCTAAATATTACAACCATTCGGACCCAACCCCCTACCCCGCGAAGAATTGGGAATAAATGCATTGGTCTACGTTTTAAATCAAAGATGGAGTAATTACAACTAACGATGGCATTGCTACTTGAATGGATATGCTTATATGTCAAGATTCCTTTCTCATACGGGAGGAAAGGGTCTGATGTGGACGGAAAGCTCTGTCTGTTAGAAAGTCGACTCTTCCAGGAAATGATTACACATTCACAACATATTGAGGCCATTGTTAGTCACGCCGTGATAGAGCACTTTCTGGAATTCCCTTAACCTGATGATTGCTAAGGCTACTGATCAGCATAGGTATATACTGTAGTCAAGATAATGCATCTCCTGCCCTTCTCAGCTTGACTTGATAGACCTCAGCTCCCAATCTCCCTCCCCATCAATGAGCCGCAGTTCCGTTGAATGATACGGAATCAAGGCAGGCCTCTGTGTACAAAAAACCCAAGAAATTCCTGTTATAACAGCAAACAATCAAGCAAATTGGACATAACACAGCTGAGTGTTCAAATATGGACATGACAATCACCTGCAAATCGAGCCCAAATCTTACCTGCGAAATTGTAACCACTGTAATCCCGAGAGCTTGTGCACGTTTATAAAGCCCCTCCTCTACATCCACGCTTGTTGCGCTATAATCATATCAAACATCAAACATGCATATCAGCACGACGAGTTTCCCTATGGAAGATAGAGTCGTCATATAGATACAGTGAGTCTTTACTGCAATAACATCCAGTCATCGTCGGATCTCATGAGAAAAAAAATCCACCAGAAAGTAATAAATAACTTACTTGGTGCACTCGTCCAAAATACCATAGCGGGGGTGATGAAAGAACAAACGAGCCTGAGGTCACAAAGAACCAGGTCAAACATCGTTCACAATCATATTGAAGTGCATGGTAAGTCGATCATAATCACTGTAGGTGAATGCGATGCTCCACGATGGATATGTATGCAGGTAGTGTATGAAGGACGGATTGGGCGGAAAAAATAATACATATGCAGTCGTAAGGGCAGAGCCTGAGCCTATTTGACCAGTAAAGAGGAAGCACTGCGACTACATCCACTTTGCAATGCATCCACAGATAAACAGGTAAAAGACAATATATACACACGTAATTCAAAAGCAAGGAAGGACGCATCCTTCCAACAAGGAGAAGAGATTCTTTAAGACTTACCATCCCAAGCCTCTGCTGTTCTCCTAAAGATAGCATGTCCTCCCAGTTAGCTGTTGTATCCCAGCCTCCTTCCCGATCTAGTAGATAAACAAGTCTTACGTCTTCTAGGATAGACCGCAACGTACTGTCCAACATCTCTAGTGCTACTTTGGAAGATGGATCTCGCAATGCTTTGTTGTACTCCTCATCTTGAACCAAGTCTGAAATCTCGTGAAACAAAGCATTAGCATCTCCGGAGATGGACAACTGAAATCAGTGAAACAGAACGGAAACAAAAAACAAATATCCATGATCTCACCTTCCTTGAGCTGGCGGAGCTCATAGTCTTTCACAGTCTTCTTGGTTGCTACATCCAAAGTCATCGGATAGATGATTTGGTCCCGAAGCGTGCCCAGCGCAGTGTATGGACGTTGAGGAACATAAAAGATGTCGCGGCTCAAACCTTCGTCATCGTGTTCATCGTCGTGCATCCCTGGCTTTGTGATACGGCCACTTGCATGTGGCCACAATCCCCCAAGAACTCGGAAAAGAGAAGTCTTCCCACTGCCATTAGGACCTAGAAGGAAAAACAACCCATAGTTCAGACCTAAAAAAAATTTCATATTTCATCAAGTCATTAACTCCATCATTTTGCAGTCATAAACATTATATTCTACAGATAATAACATGACCAGTTACCAGTATTCTGAGGCTGCAGTTTAATGCCTATCAACTTTGAGCAGATTTTATACTCCACCTCATAAAAGAAGTCGAGAGAAATTAAAGAGCACAAGTATGATATATCCGTAACTATTCAAGAAACTGAGATGTAAACTCACCTGTCACCAACAGGCTTCGACCTCCTTCAACAGTAAAACTTAATTTCCTTGCAAGAAGTTTATGTTTGGGTGTTACAACATCAACATCAGAGAACACAATATCTTCCTGAGCTGCTTTCCCCCGATGCTGTACGATCATTTGCAGAGGATCAACTCTTGATGACCTCTTACCCGGTAATCTCTTCCCTGCAAAAGACCCAAAGATGCGAAGAGTTACATCAGCCTAGCTGGTATAATTTGGGTAACCTATAAGACAACGAGTCTCCAAACAATGTGTACTCAGTACGGGTCTGGATTAGCTATGAATTTTTTAAGAGAAGTCACAAAGTCAAAGCGCGCCGGAATTTTAAACTTAGTGGTAAACTACTCTCTGGGGTATATATTCGTCGGAAAACTTCCAGTACAGAAAAAATTACAACGCTCGGACTCATTGCGACGTACTCACCATCAAAAGCTGCTGTGAGCAGCTCATTGAGTTCTGAAACTCTAGAAATACCGCCGGACAGTTCCAAAAACTTTCTATAAAGCTCCAAGATATCGCCAAATGCAAGGAAACTTTGAGATACGACAGAGGCCAAGAACCTCAAGTCATGCGCTAGTTCACCTGGACACGATAGCATGTCTTAGTCCATTAAGCTAGAAAGGCACACATGTAATGAAAACACATGAATGACAACGTATCCGTAATGCGTTGGTTCGTGTCAGAAGCATTTCTTGAGCACCATCAGGAAAAAAGGATCGACTTTGCTTGACAACGACTTTCTCAAGAGAAGACAAGAAACATAGAACGCACCTTGCACTTTCGTTGAGGAGCGGTTGCCACTATGCTCTACGGCATATAGAAGACTTAGACCCCACGTAACATTATGAGGCAATTGTTTCGTGATAAACTCATCGGCAATACCAAATAGCCACCTCTTCTTCAGAAGTTTTCGAGAATGGTCAAGAAGCTCCTTAAAACGCCCCTCTATAACCTAAACAGTATGAACATTCAAGGCAGCTGCTCTCAACTTCTATGAATCAACTCAGCTAGGATAACTGGAGAGAGCCAAAACTAAACGTGGCATAAATGTTTACAGCTTCACAATTGAAGAGAATTCAAGAAGTCTTACAGCTTGTTCTCGAGAACCGCCACCAAAGAACGCAATGGACTCAGCATGAGTGCGAAGCCTAGAGTGCATGTGTCTGTAAAAAGGAAAAACAATCAGTATAATCCGACCCTTCAGCCAACATCCTATAAGGGGATGAAAGGAGAAGTTTACCACTTGAAAAGAAAATACATTACGAAAAAATTAGTACGCTTGACAATTTCGCTGCATAGTAATAGAAAAAATGACGGATTTAAATTCAGAGTACCTGAAAGAACCCTCTAGCTGCTGCTCTTTGCTTGTCAAAGCTCCAAAGTTGGGAGTGATTGCTCTCAAAAAGCCCAGACCTAAAAGCATATAGGCGTACAGGAAGCCAACTCCTCTCTTGCCGGTGAGCATCTTCATGCGGAAAGTGAACCTGCCACACGAAGCCATAAGTGGTCAGAACAGGATATACACGAGTCACTGAGTTTGAGCCAAAGTGATCGAACTCAAATTACTTCTTACAAGATATGAAGGATGAAACGTGGAACCAGCCTTTAGCTCATTTTCCAAATTTTAATGGCAACACATGGTATCTGTGAGTGAGCCATATACTTACCAGAGAATATCAACCAAAGGCTTCACCATGCCAGTGACCAATCCAGAGAGGTCGCCACACAACTTTTCTACATCCTGGGTGATGCGCTGATCCGCATCAGCGCTTCCAGAGGCAGATAAGTGGACTGCCTGTAACCAAACAAGTGTGAAGAAAAATCTTAATAATCACTTCGCTCGACGGCATATAATTTGTCGCAGGTATGTATATTGCATGCGTGAGAAAAACTCAAACGTTCATCACAAAAAAATGGTACCCATACCCACCATAACCATAACAAGTACAACAGATGCAGACTTTGCACAGCTCAGGTCCCAAGAAGTAACACTCATCAAGTACTGCTACTATAGCTCTCGTGAGAACATTTGACCTGCAATGTCAGAACAGGGAGTTTGTCCAAAGAGAGGCCCTTCCCTAAACTACTCAGAAGCAGACTTTTCATTGAAGATTTAAAAGATGAACCCCGATACAAACTGGACGTGGATGTCCAATGTCGGTCTCGCATCGTAACGATAGTAGTAGTTATTGAGCACGAACCTTGTAGTAGGCATTATTCTGGAAGTATAACTTTGAGAGATGATTCGTCAAGCGATACCTCCAGCCAAGCGCAAGCTTAGCGGTCATGTGCCTAAACGCCAAAAACCGACTCAAATTTGTTACCTCTACGAACCAATTCTACTTTCGAAAGCAGAATACGAAGGGCACATACGGAGATATGAATATACTGGTTACTAGGTTAAAAAAAAGGATGCATTTAAGCAGCCAAAAACCTCTTATGTGTACTTTAGCCGGAATTATTAACCAGATTGCGCCCTAAGAAAGGTATTATCCCGAGTGAAGTCTCGCAAGCATGGGAATGTTCTCATCTACTTTGTCTCTTGTCTTCAAATAAAAAAGCAGACGATTTCAAATAAAACTACTAGTCTAAGACAAATGATACCACAATGTAAATACACACCAGCTGTATTGGTCAACTCAAGTGAACATACTAGCAACACAGATGAAGCACACCTTAGAGACGGGGCCACAATCGACGACGCAGCACTCTGCAATACACTGACACCTGTCAAACGGATGAAACCAGCTTTGTCTTGCTCCAACACGTACTTCACGCTTGTACCTGAAAAAGTTGTCTTAACCGTCAAGACAAAAAGAGAAATAGAACCTTCACGCTGGTCGAACTCTGAAACTCTAGAGGCAAAAACTTCTGATATAAATCTTCGATAAAAAGCTCCGCAAATCAATGGACATGAATGAGCCATTCACCAAAATATGCGTAGAGCGTACTAAACAAAACGTCTTGAACAGAAACCATGCCTACTTTGTACTTTTGAAAAGTACAACGTAGATACTAATACAAAAGGATAAGTTCGGAGTGAAGCATTTCCGAAAGCAACAAGAAGTTAAGCACGGATGAAGCGAAGTGAGAGAATTTACCATTAAGGTCCGCAATTCGATCGGAGATGTAGGTTCGGCCTACAACAAGCAAAGCGACTGCAAGTAATTGCCCTCCTTGCTTGTCGAATAGTCTTGGGACCTATGTAACATATCCACTTGAGACCGGTCAGATATTGCACGTAAAGAATCACAATTACTGCTTTGTATTAGTTTCTCAACGTGGAAAAAGTTTGATTTCTTAGAACAAAGAAGGCTTACCAAAATTCTCATGAGAGTAGATATTCTTGCGGGGGTACTCTGAGGCTTGCTACGTAGCCTTGGTACTTCCGGAATAACAGGCGGACCGTCAAGGGGTGGAGATGTTGCCAGGACAGCGCCAACATATGAATCCGATGACTTCGACTCCTTTGCCGTGTTATTCTGAAACTACAGATATTATTTTGAGATACCTGTGTATCTTGACACAAAAGCTGCACCCAAAGCCTATGACTGCAAGTATGGATGCTAAATAAATATCAAGAATCTATAGAATTATCGTATGCCTCGGGCAACAGTACACAAACGCCTATATGACTTAAGGACTCGTAAACACACTAAGATGCTGTACAAGTGGCTGATGCATCTGCATTGTCACTTGCGATCTCGAAGTAAGACATACTTCTCATTCCTACATTTAGGTAAATCACTTAAACCCAAAAACTAACGGTCATCCTAAGACGTAAATTAAAGCTTTTGTTATTTAACTCATTCCATTAGCCTATAAATTAAGATTGATGAAGAAAATGAATTTTTATACTAACCTCATCAGACATTGAAAACTGCTGCTTTACAAAGTTGGCCTCTTCACTGCGTATTTTTTGTACTTCCACTTCATCAGCCCCTGTAAGTAGCAGTGGTGGGACCTTTGAGGTGGCGTCCCTGTACATGAGAAAGAGCATACATATTAGCATGTTGCGTACGTCAGAGTAAACAAAGAACATGAGCAAATAAGGATATTTAACCCCTCGATCAAACAAAGACATAGCTGGAACTTCCCAAGTTTCATGCGTGGCAGCTAGTAGATTTGAAATCAACTCACAAAAGTCTTTTACAACTCCAAAGAGAAGCAAGGATAAGAATTTCAAGTCCACAGTCTTTGCCAACCTCTTATAGTGCACACTCCAGCCACCCTCTCCATCAAGTGAGAGAACAGTGTCATGGAAAGCCACCAAAGCGGGTCGGTGAGAAATAGTAACACAAGATGTTCCCATGGCTCTGACTTGAGCACAAAATCGCTCTTCCATGTCAGTTGTCACCGCACTCGTGCATTCGTCCAAAATAGCATAGGCAGGTTTGTGGTAGAAAAGTCTCGCCATTCCCAGCCTTTGCTGTTCTCCAAGTGAGAGCTCATCGCTCCAGTTTACCTCCTGCATTTGTGGGTATCGATCTAACAAGTTCTCTAGATCAACCTGAAGAAAACATACACACAGATTAGATGAGTATACACGCGAGAGTTTGACAGATCTGAATCTACGGTTAGATTGCGGAGCGCACGGTGAGTCGGTAAGGAGGAGGAAGGTTACAAGGAAATATCCAAATGACACTAACTCTACGAGCGTTAAGGGGAGGTTCTAGGGCAACGCTGGATTCAACCCGCATGCCCCCTTATGATACGAGAACAAACTGAATCGATAACCCTCACAGAAAGGGGACGGAGAACCATTTACTCCACGACTTAACAAATATAATGTTCAACTTAGATCTGGAACATCACACCTTCTCTTGTACATCAATTCAATTGATACCAACACCGAAACCCCTCAGTTTCTTCCTCTTAGACGCAACTCATGCCCTCTTCGAATCAACTCAATTCCCAAACTACCAACCATACTAATGCATCAGAAACCCAAGGGTTAAGAGTAGAGTTCTGTATGTATAACCGAAAATCTATGGGTTCTAACTATCAACTATATCAACTGGTGATGGAGTAAGTAAAGTATAGGTGACAGTCGGTCATAATATCATTGGTTGGAACAACTTACATGATAAACAGAAGTTGAACTGTGTGAGCAGAAGAATAGAATGATATGACAATTACATAACAGATCTAGAACGCTGAACCTCCAAACACAACTTAAGAACACGCAGATACAAAACTTGTTTGGTGTTCGAACAAAGTAGAAACATACGTTGGCCAGAAGCTCTCGCATGCCCTCAATCGTCAGAGGCTTGACCTCCTCAGCAGCAGTTAGAGGGTAGATAAGCTGATCCCGTAACGTGCCAACTGCGGTGTAGGGTCGCTGGGGTACATAAAAAATCTCATGACTCAAATCTGACCCCATTCCAGGCTTTGTGATACGACCTGCCACCAGAGGCCATAAACCGCCAAGAACTCGAAATAGAGAGCTCTTTCCACTGCCATTTGGACCTGCAGTATTGAACCAAGCATTCACGTTCCACTATATTAGAAGAGAACCTCGAGATTTACGCAAATAAGATTGGTTGTTCCATCAGTAAGTCGATTAAATTCTGCTAAATGTACAGATGTTTTCTTGCTCAACACGAACCTGTAATAAGTAAGTTGGAACCTGGTTCGACCCTCAAGGTCAAATCTTCGACCAAAGTGTTGCCTGTAGGTGTGACTACCTGCCACCGCGAAACGAAAGTACAGAATCAGACAACATTCACTTTCCTCCACCTTGTGAAAGAAAATAATCAGAACGTAGGGCATCTTGATCTTCTATACACACCTTCACGCCCTCAAACTCGATATGTTTCGCTTCAACAAAGCAGCTACCATTCTCTATGTTTTGAGTTGTCAGATTACCACCAGACCTCCGTAGTTCTTTTGACACTTGCATGAGCTCATGTATTCGATCTCCGTAGCCACTAGAATCAGCATAGTGAACATGTCAAGATTAACAGAAGAAACAAAACACTCTTCAACAAGTTGCTATTTAGACGTGTAACTATACGAATAAAATCCGCATTACTTTTAGACCTAATGGTGTGAAAAAATGCGTAACTAACGTCCTATAACTACCTTCACGGACAGTCAAAACGTCCTTTTCTATGAGAAAGAGATTGATAACTTTCATTCCAACAGAAAAATGTCAATAAGAACTTTCCGAGTTACACTTTCTGTGTTTCACTAGCTCTACGTTCACAACGGCCTGCAATCAGGTAAAACATGACCCTAATCACCTGAGTCGAGCCAGCCTGCGAGTACTTCCAGCCAAAGTACCCATGGACTGAAATAGTGAGATGATGACGCTGGTGTGATAGCGCATGTTACTCAGCATGTGCGCACGACCTAGAGTAGTCGTATCGGGCTTCAAGTTACCGCCGAAGAAAGGTCCAATGATAAGGACAACTCCAAATGTGGCTCCCAAATACTTGAGCAGAAAATCTTGTATCATACCAAACCACCACTGGGTGTGTAAAACGATCCCCAAATGCTTCACAAGATTCATGAAGCGCGTTGATATAATCGAAGCCTCCCTGTCCTGTCCTCCATAGAACGCAATGCTCTCTGAGTGAATCCTCAAACGGCTGTGGAGCTGCCTGTAGTCACCCTCCAACTGCTGTTCTTTCGACATTAATTTCCCAAAGGGCGGAGAGAGTATTCCCGTGATAGCACCTGCTCCTAACACATAACCCTGGACGCAAAATTTAACAACACCGTTAGTATAATGACAAGATAAAAACTATAAATGATCTATGCAGCTGTCAATTGAACAAAGTTTCAGCCGTAAAATCTACTCGCTTATTACGAAACGTTGTGATTAACGAGGTGCAGAACAAGCCGGAGTATAAGACGAAATTTACCAAGATTCCAAGAGCATATTTGGGATGAGCATAGGTACAAAGACGCCAGGTATAAAGAAGACCATCAAACACAGCCACCATGTTGTCTTGAACGAGATCACTGAGCTCGGTGCAGAAGCGAGGCACATCACTAGCAATTCGTTGCTCCGGACTCGTTATTCGCCGGTCCACGTGGTTTAATTTGTAGTAAGTCATGTTCTGATAAGAATTACGCAAAGAAGATTTATCAGAACAGTTAAAGTGGACGTGCTGACTTCCTAAACTTTTCACAGTATGCCTTTGATCGACATCATAGTCACAAAGGGCATTTAAAGCTTCATTCCATACGACTCTGGCTGGTGTTCACGGATTGAATATAACAGCTCCACTCTAAATACATATAAACAATGTAACAAAAGATTAATCCAATCATAAGTCAACTATTCACCTGGAAGTAATCTGCATGAATAGTATCTGTGAGAATTTTGCGGAATCGCAAACTTAAACTGCCCGTCAAATACTTCGTTGTTGAGTAGAAAAGGGATTGCAATAGGCAGAGCAAAAGGTTCTCAGTGATCAACTGCATGAAAAGGGGCACCCGCCTCAAGAAGGCAGCTCTGAACAGGAAACCTTGAACACGGGCAAGTCTATTGCTCAAAGCAGTTCTCAGCACCTGAAAATATGAAGACAAAGCTTATCAAAACTGAATGTTGTAACACTCTAAATTAAGGCAGAGCTACAAGGAAACGTTACATTCCTATACTCAGGCACCGTACTTCTTCAAATTGAGGCCTCGTCTATATAATTCCCTTGGTCAGCTGAACAAGCTACGTGATCCGTTCGCTTCGCAACATTGATATTGTGGAATACACACATCCGTCATTAATTATAGAATGCGCGGAGGAGTTTATAAGATTGTCAACACAACAAAAGGGCTTAAACTCTGTCATACCGCCATTCCTGCAAGACTTAATAGATTTCTCATGCCGGGTGTTCCCATCTGGGACAACAGAATCCCAGCCAAGATCTTCACGGACTTGATTCCTCCTTTCCGTGATCTTCCTTTCGAAACAGGCCTAGCAGAATTCTCTTTTCCTCTGACCAAATCATTTTCAGAGCTCACACCGTTAGCGAGTGGTTCGGACACAGAACGTTTACTGCGTCTTCCGATACCCAGTTGTGAGTACGCAAGACCTCCTCCAGCCACCAACACTGCAGCAGCGAGTGCCAGTGCTCTCCTGCATTACAGAACAGAAACGAATCACGACTCTGCCAAAGGCGTTCATGCTTCAAAACAGCTATATTACGGACAATGTGACTCTGCAAATCCAACAAAGTCTGAAAGTAAGATAACTTTGGTCCTCTAAACCATTCCAACAAACGTCGTAATCCCGAAAACATTGGCCCAGCAACGAAAGATTTTTTAAGACAACTAAGATGATGCAGAAGACCAACTGCAATCAAATCAACCCTTTTATTATGTTAATCTCAGCTTACGATGTGGGACTCGACTAAATGTGAGACGGGAGAACGGACGTTGAAAAAAGATAGGAATATTAAGAACTTTTAGAGAAAATGTAGAGTCTAGTGACAACCCAAGTGACCCAGTTAGGAACATTAACACAAATAATAGACATCGAGTTTTCAGATCTCTGGGGCTATCAGCAAGTGCAAAAGCGAGGGTAGGTGGGCCAATCCATCATTAACTATGAGCGACATAGATCCGAACAACATAAATTACAAACTAATACATCATAAATATTTTTTCGGCAAGTATGTAAGATGTTCAGAATTCGGCCGGTATATTTAACTTTAACGCTCGGCATGGGAAATCCATAATCAGCAAACCCTACTCATCGTCTTCCTCAATCATTTCCGTCCTCTTCGTTCCTTTAATCACAGTCTAATCTTTTCCCCAGTTAAATGCGAGCAGACTACAGTTGATAAACGAGACAAACCTCTTCGGTGATGAAAGCAGCGACTGCTGCTGCTGCAGTGCATGAGTAATCTGTAGAGATGACATTGTGAAGACGTGCAACCCCACTCACTCTGAGACCACAAGTAAAAAGTAGAGTCAGAACCATTCCAACCTCCCTTCATATGAGATGATACATCGGACTTTTGAAAAGTACTCAGGCCTGCCTAAATATATCAGACAGACACCTGTAGTCCGACAAACTGATTGCGCTCGGCCCTCGACTGCGACTCTGCTACACACATCACCAACTTCATGCGTGATGACCGACTAGTTGTTTTGATACAACGAGTTTCAGGACCACCTGTGAACATCGGCAACCCCCTTGAACTAGATATTTACGTCCAGCGTCTAACCAACACCTGCCAGCTCCTGAACTCCGGACAAAACATTCTCAAGGCAAATCAAGGAGGGAAGGCCGGCCCTCGCCACATGTGATTGTCATCATATCGCAACTTTACCGTGCTGCCAGAAGTGATGAGCGGTATTTGAACTACACTTACTTCGCACGTAGGGGCAAGATCCGTGGACTATTATCGTGTACTGCTTCAACATCACTTTCGAGTACTGCGATGGTAATATTCCATGCACGCCACTCTTTCAAATGGTCTTCGAGTGCAAAACCTTCCGAAAATCACGCGCCGCTGCACATGGCATCCACAATCCACCCGAGTCGACAATTTATGAGTTTTGGCATGCCCACCTCTGTCACACCAACTGCTACAATGAAAACCGGCAGAGAGCTCTCTCAGAACATAATTGTCCTCAAACCACCAGCTTACGAAGCGATCGCGGTAGAAAGGACTCGCGAAAAAAAAACAACAAAAAAAAAGGCTGGTAATTACTTCACGAATTGTGATCGCCACTGCCTAGCCCTGCCAGCCTCGACCTTCGTCAAGTGCGAAAAAGCCCAAATTCCCCAAAGTAACCAGCGATCCACCGATGTTATTCCTCAAGAAGACCTGGCCAGCACCTGAATTTTCTCTCTCAACTCTTGCCCTATCCGCGCATCCACCATCGTCCTCCACCTCCTCCCCTCGGGTCAATTCTCCGCATCGCATCCACGACGACGCACCAACCACCGCGAGACCATGCCAGAAGCGAATTCCACCGGCCTCAGCAGCCCGAGCAATTTCACACGGCAAAGAAAATCGAGCATGATCTATTCTCGCCCGTCACGCACGCAGCCCACCGTCCTCCTCCTCCTCCTCCTTCTCCAACTCTACTCCCCTCTGCCCTGCCCCTCCCCGCCCCTCCCCTCCCAGCCCAGCCCTGTACGTCCTGCTCGTGTTCGTCGTCTGCAGAAAAGCGCAAAGGCGCAGAGCTCCGTGGGCTACTCTTCCCCTCGGCGCGTGCCAACAAATCGCCGCAACAAACAACAACACCACAACAGTGCAGGCGGAACGAGCTCCGTCGCACCATAAAGCTCGTCGTCTACTCTTTCTCGAGGAAAATAAGGAAGGAAGGAAGGACAGCGGGCGAACCAGAGGAGCCGAGGGAGGTCCTTCGTCGACGCCCTGCCGAGTTTTCGGCCCTCGCCATAAATGAACATGTCAGCGGCAGCCCGAGCGATCGCTCGACCCGCCATCTGCTCGCCGGACCCGTTCTGCTGGCGCGCCGTTGGTCGCGTCCCGCACGCAATACGAAGCCAGCGCGGGTTACGGCGAGGACGGGCCTCGTTCTCGCTTCCGGCCGTGTACCGCCTTCGGTTATCGCGTTTATGATCGCGTTCGTTGGTGATATGTTTCGCAGTCTATTTCTGGCATTCTTATATTTGGACCCTTATTCCAATTGCTCCAATTTATGTTTATATATATACTCTCGAGACGGGGGCCAAGTAAGTAACGGAATAGATGGACGGCCCTATCCTATACACTTGCCACCCGCGCGGTCTTATGGATAAATTACATGTTGCATTGTTTTTGAGAGGTTCGCATTACTCGCACACCGCATGGTAAGAAAATATAGCAAGTCACGCAATGTAAGGTCGTCTGACTCCTGCGTACGCACAGTCGACGAGTGAGAATGCGTGAGAGACGAGATTGATTTATAGATATATGATTAATTATTTAATTTTGTGCAATATATTGTGCCATGCTGGTGTAAATTTTTTCAAGTAGAGTATTAGCATGTTTCATTCATATGAGAGTAATCATGTTAGGTGATATTGCATGAGATGTTTAATAATAAGTAGACTGTTTCATCTAGATCGTTGATAAAATCAAAGTCTGACAAGTTTTTCGTTGTGATATTATGGGATCTGGCCTAATATACATCACACCCTTTGTCTCATGTGATCATGGCATTGTTTTTGCTATATTAAACTCTATTTTTTATTTTTGTGTGATCATGTGCTTGTACATGATTTATGCAGTAACGCCTGTACATGTTTTCTATGCACGTATTATACATGCTCAGGCAGCTATCGCCCATTTTCGAGATTCTGAATTCAGTCCTGGCAGTACTTCGTTCTACAAAATGTGTCGAGTGCCCTTAAACGAGAGGAACTATGAACCATCGATTGCGAAGTTTTCTTTTCAAGAGAATCGGGAGAATCAACGCTGTCAGAACATAGGGAGGCAAGATGGGACGAGGGCAAACCACTGGGCTGTACACTAGTTCCAGATCTTGAGTAACTGCATCTTTAAATGACGTCATGAAATTCCGAGTAACCGCTCCGGTACTCAATTTTTCAGCATAATATACCATATCTCTGCCCTGCAGAGCCTACTGAATAAATGGTGATAAATGTGTAGGGATCTTCGACCTATAACACCTAGATTCTGGAAAAAATAGCTCCAAACAGCAACTCGTAAGTATATTACTGCCTACATGTAGATTATGTACATGTCTACTGGACACTGTCTAAGAGTGGCGATAAATGTTTATGTCAACATATTCAGTGCCCAGACTCAGGAAGAGAAGAAAATAATTAATGGTCGGAATCACGTTCCTAGACCCTTGGACCATGTCAAAGCATATTGTCGAAAAAGGGTGCGATGAAAGTGGATCATGATGACAAGATCGCCGTAAGTAGAACGAGAACATCAATGGATTTGGCTTTTCTTCGAGATGCGAATACCGCGAATTTCAATAAGAACTTTTATGCACTGTAGTGATAATATGACGACTCTACTAATGCACATCATACACGATTCAGCTCCATGCGTCCATGAGTAATAATGACTGATGAGGAAGAGAAGTGAAGAAACCGAGCTTGGGCATTAGCCATGTTAGAGATCCCCTTTTAAGGAGGCACCCTATTGCGTGAGTGACCCCCTTACCTCCACACACTCCACCTCTCCGACGAGACGGGAGACCTGTTTGAACGATCCTTAAGAGAGAGCGACTAAATTCTAACGGTATCAGCACATTTAAGTCTCTAGTTGCAGATCGTTATCACATGCGCCTCCTTTGCCCGTTTTACAGATTTCAACCAGATAACAAACATGAAAAAAGTGGACTACTCGGTGATTTATTGGAAAAGACTTCACCTAACGTTGAAAATAACTATATACCCATAACCCATGAAAATAACTATGTACCCATATATGATGCGTGATAATGATTTGGAAAAATCGATATATTTGGAGATGATATGTTTTTCATTCATTTTAATCCCCTCATTTTTGATATTCTACATTTCAAGTAGAAAAAACTCTAGATATTTAATTACACCAAAACATCTTATGCTCACACTCTAATATATTTTTTGCTTTATACTTGCGCATCACATGTTTACTCGGGATAAAAAGCGTCCGGATATTCATATAGGCTTGTAATTCGCACCGTGTCCCCCTAGCTAGTAAGCACGAATAAAATGTTACGATAAATTCGGCAGTTGGGTGTTTAATGGGTATCCCAAGCTCGCCGGCAGAGGTATGTTCAGACAGAGCACGTGAGTATGTCAGGGGCGAAAAATCCAGAGCAGTGTCTTCGAAGAACACGAACAGAATGGATGGACAGAAAAGGCAAACATCATGTTCTTCATGAAGATGGTGTTTGCCTCCTCTCTCAATCGACGGTGCGCTTCGATGGACGCCGTACAGTCCAGAATAATAAAACACGTCAGCAGTAAGTAATTCTGACACCATGACAATGAGGCAAGCTGGAAAGGTTAACAATTTATAGAGTGATAGCTTGCGGACTTCATACAAGGTCGTTATGACTCCCTGAATATTTTAGGACGGAGTTCCCTGCTGAAAATGTATCTATCGAGAAAGTCCAACTGCTTGTTTGCTGAAATGGGAACGTATTGGATGGACTTCTTGAGTGGCTCCATATGAAATCCAATCATCAGAGTTGGTAGTTCCTTTTCTCACGACTTTTCAGGCAAAGATTCGCAAAATTCCTTCATCTACTCCAGATACAGTGACATGGAACAAATGATAAGTCATCATTATTACATTTACTTCTATTGCGATCAAGGGACTTAAGCATGCATATGAATTGCTTGCAGTGCACGAGAAATAAAGTAGTAAACTCACATTTCTCGTCTAACGAGTGAAATGCAAAAAATTTAGCTTGCCCGTGGCTTTCGATTCACAAGCCATCATAAGTAGACAGAGGACCAAATGCAATAGAAGTCAACAGGCGATACGTTCGAGGATGGAAATTGGGAAGGGAAATATAATACCAAAAAAACACTTGTCTATAACACTGCTCCGGATAATTTAATCTACATACGAACCTTTTACTCCAAAAGTTGACGCTCTTAGAAGTACGTCACCTTTCTACATTTAAAAGGCTCAAAAGCAACAGTTGAGAGCTTTATAACTTGAGTTTACACCAACCTCACTCGATGGCCAACAAGTATTGCATATCATATTATAACATGTGGAAAGTACATACTCTTTTCTCTCTATGCAGTTCTTGGTAAGCCGGACATCTGAAAATTGATGGATCCCTGGTTCAATCATTTGTGTCATTGAGTTATGAGGATCGAGACAAGCTATTGAGGGTATACAAACATTTCAGGAAAAAGATAGTGAGGACATTGGACACAATTTCGGTTATATGTATTTCTAGTCATAGTATAGCATTTATAAATATTTAAGTAGTAGATTGAACCCATTTCTGAAAATTTGTGCGGGTAAAGTATGAAGAGTTCACACATTCTACACGAATTCAGGAAAAACATTTAAACTTTACAAGAGTCGGACATCTCCAGAAATAATGAAAATGATGTTGTTTGACGGGACTCTTTTTTATACAATGAGAATAATGTATGATTGGAATCAAATGCGACCCGTTCAATGGTTGCACTCCAAATCATAAGAACTATATGTTTTTGAATTGTCGATGACATCCATCATTCTCTTGGACATCATACACTAACTATGTGAGATCCAATGATGTCACTAGATGCATTCGCCATCCACCATGCCTTCAACAGCATGAAGCTCAGTACATATCCCGATAAAGTCCGTATAGAGTCCACTCTAAGCTTTCCCTTTTCCTCCATACCTTCCATATCACAACATGATACACGCATGCACATACAGTATAGTTTAAAAAGAAAAAAGATGACTACTTTAAATTTGATGAGTAAAGTATTGATAGAAAAAGGTATCTGCTTGAATAGCTAAGATTTAAAGACACATTTAAAACATCTTGAACCAAAATAACTTGAATTCTAATTGATCAATGTTATCAGCAGATCTATACAAAATTGTTTGATATTTCTTTTAAACGATAAATTTTAGTTAAATAATAGCTTCAAGGTGAAGTTAATATCCATTGTGCTGAATTCTTCTATCGAAGGTTTCATATGTAACTCTTTTTGTCTTAAATGAGATATGGGTTCAAGCAAAGTATTATTCATCCAGTGAATTTTCATGTCACATTCATTTCACACTTTATTTTTTCACTTTGATCATGACAATTGAATTTATCCTTTTTCACATTATACGTGATTATATTTCTGTCACTTTAGAAACGTATCATAATTTTAATCAAAAGAATTTAAAAAATTTCCAAAATTTTATACCTTTATAACTCACATCTTTTTTTAAAACATTTGGTATTTTCAAAAATATCTTTGAGAAACCTTGCTGCAGAAGATTAAAAATTATTTGTTATAAAAAAACCCGAAATATATTTTAAAATTATTTTAAATGAAATTTTTACAAAATATTAAAATTTAGTAATTTTTTTATTCTATTCTATGTAGTTTTATCATCAATATATATATATATATATATATGAAAAATTTCAGTTTCCTATTTTAAAAATTATACTTTAATCTGGATGAAGTGAAAATTATTTTTTCATTATAAGACATGAAATATTTTATATTTAAAATTAATCATCAAATCAAAGCTAATCCCAATATTTACATGAAAGTAATGTTTAAATACTTTAAAATACTGTTTGGTTCAAAGTTACTACCATTTTGAAAAGTTCTGATTTAATGGTCCTTAAAATAGCGTAAATTTGAAATAATTTTGAGCATTACGTCAAGTCCTGAATATTTGCTAGCATCTCAGTTTCAGGAATATTACTAGAATTACTATATGATTGATCATGTCTATTGTTGAGATTATCTGCATAAAACAGATATATATATATATAGGATTCCTTGACTTACTCACGAAGACCAATATTTTTTAAAGAGTATGCAATAAGAAATGTTTACGGAGATTATTATTTTTTCCAAAGAACTATATCTTCATCATATACTTCCTATTGCATGACTTCGTGATGTTTGTATACTTCGAAGTCGAGCACCATGATAAAACCAATGAGAAGATGAGTCGAATAATATCTAACATCACTAAATTTTGGTGAGTATGAGGTTTATATAATCTTATATATCGCATTTGATAATTAATTTCTATGGGTAGATTAGAACTTAACGTTTTAGTGCATTCTTCTCTGTTTAAGATAGTTTCAGCTCTATAGTCAGTATATCTACCATAATACATCTTCATTGTGAAGATACGGAGCATATCACCACGTTACTCGCTTTGGAACGTTCACATAACTAACCAGTGATAGCACTTAACCCAGAATCACAAATACACTACAATGACAGTAAACAAACGATACCAAGAAGTGCCCTGGTTCACCCCTTCGAAATGGGTTATATCGACGATGGGCACTCACGTGTGACAATATACTGAAAAGTGTCATAAATAATACCTAACCTCGGGGTAAAAATACCCTACTAGTTCTTTTTAGCTAGAACTCGAGGTTACTATTTAACCTCAAGACCCATGTTACTTCTATATAATTTTATTAGATTTTTTTATTGGGCTCAATGTATACTTCAAACTATTTTACTTAACTTCCTAACGCATTGCGAGTTCTGATGTGCATCGGGAGTGAAACATGGAATTTACCATAGACTAGATGCTTGTGAGAAGACTTTTCCATAAATCCCACAGCATTGTCACCGATTCGCCATCACAATATAAAATAAATAGCTCAGGATTGTAAAGAGTTCAGCTCTCTGAATAGTTTTGAACATATATGAAGCTATAAGAAAGAAAATTGACATGTGAATGTGAGCATGAGGATATCATGCTAAATTAAAATTTTTTTCTAGTTTATTTTTAAATCATGATTCCATTATTCCACACATATGAATTCCGTCACGATGAGTTAACTCATCTGACATCATGCTTTTAAATTTTAGAAGAAAATATATTTTTTGTGTTACAGAAGATATTTTTCTCATCACAATAAAGAAGCAATTATGCCGTTTGTTGTGCTCTTTGTTGTGCACTTGTTTGGTTTGATGAGATTTTCCGATTCTTATTTAATCCAGCTAGCCTTCATCAATTTTTTCATACAGTTTAATATATTATATGATGATGGATGGTTATATCTCAATGAATCGCGGCCATAGTCTGTCGTCTGCATCCGACGTCGGAAGACGACGGAGGTTGTTGCGGGGAAGGCCATGTGCACTGGCCGCAGGCCCAGCTCCGCAATTAACAAAGAAACAAAAATCAAATTGCCTCCGGCTCGTGATTCTCTTCGCGTGCGGTATTCCGAGCAGCAGCAGGAGGTTCCGGGGCGGCTTCTTGGTCAGAAACGACAAGAAAAGGAGCGAAAATAATTTCGACGGTTCGCACCTGCTCCTCCGCCCGACGAGTTTGTCGGGCCGGAAGGTGGCGGAGGAGCGAGCATTCGGTTCCCGGTCAGGACAGGTGTGAGTTTCAGCGGTGAAGGCGCTAAACTGGGTCGGTGCGGGGTATTCGGAAACGCAAGTGCCGCACCACGTACGACGGCAACGCCGTCCCGCCCCTTCCGGTCTCTGTCCGCGGTGGTGACTGTACTGTAGTTGCGCGCTTTCGGGTTTCCGATTCTTGCGACGAGTCTCGATCGAGACTTGTGCTGTTCACTTCACTGTGCTGCCATATCCATCCACTTCCTTCCTTTGGGAGCTTTTCGGACACGAGCACCGAAGCACGGACTTTATTCGATGGCGTGATCGGTCTTTCCGACAGAGGATTCTTCCTCGTTTAGTAGGGAAATGCTTCACACTGTTGTTGGAATTAGGATAATTTGAAGCGAGCGTCATTGACGCGACACATTATGTTTTTTCGAATTAGCCGAAGTTTCTTGGGTCGCGCTAGTCATTCATTTGTTCGGACTTTGGAACTTTCCATCGTGAAGTAATGCACTTTCTTTCGACTCCTGTCGAACCTCTCGTGAATCGCCTCTATCGAATCGTGCAATTATAGTTTTGTATTATGGTTTCGGGTTGAGCAAAGGAAGAAAGCTTGAATTCAAACTTCGGTAGGAGGATATGGTGCTTTGAAGATCAAGACAGGTCTCCATGATTATGTCCCAGCAATATGATCGTCTACACATCGTTGGGTGAACAGCAGAGTGAATGAATCCTGCTTCGTTGTACATTTGTTCAGATTTTGAAGTCAAACAGTGATCGCTGGAATCATGGATTCTATCATGAGAAGACATGATGTCACCTTGGCTCTGTTGTGTCTGGTTCTGTCTTGCATTTTTGTTTCTGGCAAATGCGAGGGTAAATTTGGACTTTCCTCGCTAGCAATTTCAAAGACGGATCCAGTAATTCAAGAGACTGCCGCCAAAGGCGTGTTGAGACGGCTTCTTCCACGACATGAATCCAGCTTTGAGCTGCGTATAGTCTCGGAGGTGTGTTCATATATCACCTCCATTATGCTGGAAGTCAGTGATATGTTCAAATCACTTGAGATTAAGCAGAGCTGTTAATACATCATTCAATTAAACTTGGTCAACAGCTGGTGTCGTTAATGCGTCATTGTCAATCATATGTCATTCATTGTCATATTTCAAGTTTCGAAACCCTGGCAGCATACGGAATGGATGATCTATTGGCAGTTTTTGTACCATATTCTGGAGTTCACTAGTAAATCTGCTAGTAGATGAGGTGAATGCGAAACTTGCAACTCAAGATCTAGAGAATGAAACCTCGTAAGAAGATTGAATGTAAAGCAAGATCAATGAATTTGTATCATAATGGAATACCGATCTCGCACTCAGAGGAGATTTTTTAATGCTACGGAAAGTGAAAAGTCCATATCAAAGTAAAGATCTATTTATGCTCAGTTCAGATTAAAACTTACACTTTGAAGGAGAGTGAGACCACATCTTCGGACTGGGCCTAAGTGGGGTTGTTAATAACTGTGACAACAAAAAGTACAAGCCTTTTCCAATAATTTAAATTGATTTGACATTGCAGGAAAATTGTGGAGGAAAATCCTGCTTTTACATTGACAACCATCCTTCAAAAAATCAAGCTGAGGGTCCGGAAATCAGGTGATGATTACCACTTCGTAGATCGCGATATGTAAAGTACTTCTCACTCCAGGAGACCACCCAGCTTTTAAGCGAAACTGCAAGTCTTCTTTCATGTTAGATACATTGCCTCTAACTTTCCCACAGATGTTTCATTGCATGTCTGCTTATGAAGCAGGCTTCATGTCTTAATTTTGAGAACCTTGACAAGTCACTTTGGATTTCACTTCTGCCAACTTGAAGACTATATTGAGCAATCAAAGGACAACTCGGGACTCTCAGTTTCAGCCTTTATTGTCCTCTTGAACCGTCGTCAGCAAGTACCACCGATGTCTTCATTTCTGGATATACAATGAGTTCACGAAAAAATATATAGCAAAAGTGATGCATATTCTCTTTTCTCATTCTAATTGTTGTAATTGTGATCAAGCAACACTTCTATGGGAAATGTCTTCATATCGGAAGTGATAAGAACGTACAATGCCAGCTCGCAGCTTAATATATCTGTTATCATGTCTGATAGTGGATTGATGTTGAACCTTTCAAGAGTGAAGCGACAGTAGATTACTGACCTCTGAAAACACAGAATGTTGTCCTGCTTTGAGTTAAGGAACGTCCTCCGATAGCACTGACTTGATTTGACTTCACTGTACTCGCAACTCTCACCAGAGATCATATTTTGACTCATCTAGTTATAGAAAGGATAGAAAGGAGATTGTTTGCTGAATGTTCTCTATCTGAAGTCACGAATCTAACTTCAGAAACAAGAAAACAGACGTACTTCAGCCATTGTTTTACTCGGTGATCTTGCCTGAGAATGTATTCAGAATATCCGGAACATCTGGTGTAGAGCTGTGTGCTGGTCTTTACTGGTACTTAAAGCGATGGTGTGGTGCGCATATATCTTGGGACAAAACTGGTGGTAAACAGCTGAAAACCGTCCCTGCGCCGGGTTTGTTGCCAGCTGTGGAACCCGGTGGCGTTCATGTCCAAAGGCCTGTACCTTGGAGCTACTACCAAAATGTTGTCACATCAAGCTGTGAGTGCCCAAAAGCATTTTCCCGTGTTCCGTTTTGTACTTGGAAGAAATTAAGTGTGAAATTGCCAAAACTCAGAGTTTCTTTGATATTGTTATACAGCGTTGTCTAAAACAGCTTAGCTCAAAGCTTTTATCTTGCATGAAGCTATGACAGCACAGGAACTGACTTAGAGTGAGGTCGAGTATCTGGATATTTCATCGAGTCAAATTTTTTTGACGTCGTATGCCGATCAGATTTTACCAGTGTGGAATGATATGACAAATCAGAATCAATTATGCTCACGAAAGATAAAGCACACTTTGTTTGGCACATTTGTTCTAGTATGCATTGGTATCAATAATTTGTTAGGAAATCTACCGAATGATGTCTTTCAATAATAATACATTAACATGAGTTGGGCTTTTGCTCATGAGAAATTCAGACTCTTTCGTGTGGTGGACCTGGGAAAGATGGGAACAAGAAATTGACTGGATGGCTTTACAAGGAATCAATCTGCCTCTTGCCTTTACTGGTCAGGAGTCAATCTGGCAGAAAGTTTTCAAGGTAAGCTTTCCAGGTGCAAGACTGTCCAATAATATGTTTGATCTTTTAGACAGTCTTGAAGTCAGCTGGATATGTCTTTAAAAGCCTCATAATATGTGCGACTGAAGCACCAGAAACAGTTGACAAATAGTGTGTGCTGGTTTTAGGATTGTGTGAAATACACACACGTTTACTGTATTAATGAAGAAGTACTTATTGTCTAGGTGGAGAATCAAATAATAGTTTGTTCTGACTTCTGAAACAGAGTAATCGCTTCAATCTTAGTCAAGCTGATCTGAATGATTACTTTGGCGGACCAGCTTTCCTTGCTTGGGCGCGAATGGGGAATTTGCATGGGTAAGTTTCGAACTCAGGTCTGGTCAGTAGCTCATATGGTCAATTCTACATGGTACTAGTGTATGAGACATTGGAAGACTCAAAGTAGATGTGCAAGTTTTTGTCAATGTTTGTTTGTTGTAAACAGTACTTTGCCCAATCGTACTTATCTTGCTCTTAACTCGAATGAGAGGTGACATTTGATCTATTTGACCTTAATACAGTACTTCACAACTCTCGGCAAACATTGAAAAGGGTTGCACGAGAGAATTGTACCATCTTCTGTGAACCACTTTCTGAAGAGTCGTGAATGAAGCTTTTGTTGGGCTATATGCTTATAAATGGATAAATGAAGAGATTTGACCTTCGGACAATGCGAAATTTTCAAGAATGAACCCCTAACGGATTCTTTCATGATTAGAATATATACTTATTATCGTCTATTGCACCGTTACATACATACTGCAGTCCGACATAATCTTACCGATATCCATGTAAAGCAGACCAGTATAATAGGAAATTTTGAACGATAGTAATGTTTATAAGGGTAGACCCGTATAAACTTTACATCAGTCATTATAAACATTACATTGAGAGAAAGATCTAAAGTCATACTTTAGTGTGGAAGTCTTTACATCAGGTAAGGTCGTAACCGGTCTTGCAGCTAGAATCAGAAAATTAATGAGCTACAAAGGCTCACGTGTCTGTGGAGAAACAATGTGGGCAGAAATAACGAACCATTGTTGTTCAGGATCAACCAATTTGGTATACTTGTGCTCAGGATATATCAACGTTTGAAGAATGAATGAACTGAGGCAGGTTTTTAGTTGTTATATTGTCATGTACATCAAGAAGTATATTATGTTTCTGTTCTCAGTCATCTCTAACTGTCATGATGCAAAAAGTGGTCGAAGACAACTGCTGCTTCTCAACGAGTTTTACAAGAAAAAACACCAAAGACTATGGTGTCAACATATTGACTGTATATTGTTTAACACCATGTAGGGTGTGAAGAATGGTTATAAATCTTCATACGTTGCAATGAGTGAATCCTACTATAGTATTGCCTTGGTGCTTGGTTATGTGTCTTACAGCCTACAAGAGGCAAATGTGAATGAGTACAATTTGAATCATGTCGCACACCTTTTTCCGTTTATATTCTTCTTCTTTCAGTACTGGTCATCTTTGAATGTAGCTTATAGTTGTTTTGTATTAGAGCAAGTAATGTATGATATGAAGAATAGTAGTTTTATATCAGCTTCACGTCAACGTCTTCAGGCAGCCATTGACATCAGAAATTAGTTTGAGAGAGTTGCATGTGTGCTTACGTCAAAGTAACGGGAGACTTCTTGGATCATAGGTCTATGTTTGAGTGTATATGTTATAGGTCTATGTTTTCAGTCCCTGGACCCGGTCTCATCAACTATTTGAGTCTATAGTGCACATTTTTTGCTTTTTCATTCTGTTTTCTTTTGGTTTCGGCTTCATCACCTTATCATAGCCAAAGCTTTAAGCACTTGGATTTACTCAGGTCGTTTGGCCCATAGTTGGCCGCTCAATGGTTATTTTGAATGTATTTGTATACATTTTTATCCTGCATTACTGAGAAGGCACTCCTTTTGACTTTTTCATCCCCATTTTTACGTAATTTCTTCTTTGAAGTTGGGGCGGTCCATTGCCTCAGACTTGGTTGGACCAGCAGCATCAATTACAGTTGAAAGTACTTGACCGAATGAGAAGTCTTGGCATGATTCCAGGTAAGTCATTCCACACACTGAACATGTCATTTGAGAGAGTATCTTTATTAAACATGTGGAATATTGATCGTACCTAGGCGTTTTACTCGTAGTTAACCTTTGTGATCATCTCTATTTACAAGACGTCATATTTTCATTGATACTAGACAATATAATAATAGGTTGTGCTCGTGAAACAGTGCTTTCAGCTTTCTCTGGAAATGTACCTTCGGCTTTGCAACGAATTTTTCCGTCTGCAAAAATTACACGGCTTGGAAACTGGTGAGGGTTTGGATCATGTGTTATATAAACTCGCTGTACTCCTAGCTTGTTTGAAAACGCACCACCTCAAACGTGTCTCATCTGAGCTCAACTTGCAGGAATACAGTAGATGGTGACGAACGATGGTGTTGCACGTATTTATTAGATCCCACTGATCCACTCTTTGTGGAGTTAGGGAAGGCATTTGTGGAGCAACAGATCAAAGGTACCTGTTGTGGCTTGTTGACTTTATCCCAGTAGAAAAGCTTTATCACTATTTTGTAAATTATTTTATGTAGAATGAAAATATTAGTTGTATAAATGTGTCAGAGTCATCAAGTATGAACCCATTTGATGCAGCTTCGCAATGAACTAGCTTTCATTTATCCGCGTAGAAGGTGCTAAGAGTTGGTAGCCGTACGAGAAAAGTTCTATGGAGATGTCAAAGATGACAACTTTAAAATATTTCCATAGCTCGCGTGACGTCATGGATCTGATTTGCAGTACATTGGTTTTTGTGCAGAGTACAATGGGACTCATCATATTTACAACTGGTCCGTGCAACAGTTGTAACTCTAGGTTTTTTTGAAAACTTGTCTTACATTTGAGCTGGAGACTGAATATATATAGACTTACTTTTGAATCTTATATATACTTTTGAATCTTGTAATAGCTGTTGATCAGGATGTCTATCAGATGTATCACCAACAATGCTTGATGTTAATGTAGCACTCATGGATTAGCCTTAGGTTGCAACCATTCCTTTTAAACCCCATGTGGTCTATGAGCACAATACTAGGGTCAAACGTTTGTAGATAGGTTTGCAAGGAGTTCACTCTGACCTATGTTCTAGCAAAGTATACGGAGACCATGGTTCAAACTTGAACTTGAGGTACTAACTCGATAACCTGATATTAAAATGGTTGCCATTTCTTACTTAATTCTCAAATTAGATTATAAGTTAATCATGGTAGAATTAGTAGCTACCTTTTACTGTTTACAACTACCATTTCACTGCTAAAATCATATAAGAATTGACTCCGAGATTAACAATTACAATCTCTATCTGTGATTCCGTGAGAGCGTCACTGATTTGAGTTTTCTCAAGATCGGATTCATGTTCAAATTTCAGTGATACTTTCAACGAGAATCTACCACCAACTAATGATCCTGGCTACATATCAACCTTGGGAGCGGCAGTGTATAAAGCCATGAGTGCGGGTGACAATCACGCTATCTGGCTTATGCAGGTTAGGTTTCACCTGTAGCTATAATGTAATTGACCATTTTATTTTCGGTTTCTAATTGTGAGGATTAATATATGATGCGTTGAATGAAGGAACTGCTTTCATACTGTACTTATCCACCACGTTTGTCAATCAACAACGTGGTGGCTAAGTATGTTCATTGTTATATGTTCTACGTCTCTGAGGCCTATGTACTCCTCCCTCACTGACAGGTACTATTATTATACCTACAGTAGTTCTAATTTCGGTTAAGAGTCAGAGTAAATTCATCGTATATTTGCTGGCCTTGGAACTAAAGTATACAGATGTAGGTTACCATAGGTGGTCTTATGCATGCCGGTAAGCATTGAATCTACAACTATGAATAATGTCGGACTTACTGCTCTTGATTATCGTCTTCTAAATTACAAATTTGTGGTTGGTCAAACTCTCTTACCATATCCTTGTATTTGTTAAATTTATATTGTATCATATGGGAAATACACGTTAAACATCACCTTCTTCTTCTACTTCAGTCTTATTCTTGTACATTGATTTGTCATCATATATGCAGGGTTGGCTATTTGCCACTGATGACTGGTTCTGGAAGCCTCCTCAAATGAAGGTCTTGCTACAACTACCTTGTTTCTCCTCACTTTTATCATAGCTTTCCGCTTCTGAGGTCTTTGCAGCGCGATGTCTAAAAAGGTTATCGCAATATCACCTTTTCTTTGTCATCACGGAAGATATTGGAGGAAATATGCTTTTGTCCTGATCAGGTATCTTTCAACTCATTTCAGGCGTTATTACATTCTGTCCCAGTGGGACAAATGATCGTACTAGATCTTTTTGCAGACGTGAAACCTGTTTGGCAACGTTCAGATCACTTCTATGGCATCCCTTACATATGGTATATGTCTTCCAAGTTCGACGAATCTTTAATGCTTGTAATTTTACCTTCCATCTTTCTGTTTGCAGCACAAGATGTAGGTTCCTCTTATATGCTATGTCAGGGAGGTCCAGTTTCACCCAATGCTCATCAACTATTAGAGTTCACACTAGTAAAGTTTGCTAACTGAAAAGGTCTTTGACTTACAGGTGCATGTTGCACAATTTTGGAGGAAATTTGGAAATGTATGGAAGGGTTGACACAATAGGATCAGCCCCTATTGAAGCACTCAGGAGTCCAAACTCTACCATGGTACTTGAATGGATGAGCTTGTATGCAACTCCTTATATTTGGAAGTCAATATTTTATCCAGTTTGATCATTAAGTAACAGAATATGCCGGGAGTTACTGCGTTGGGATAGTAACCCCCACCATTATTGTATTAATGGTGGGGGTTACAATAATGGACGAGTACAACTCTTTTGTGATGCAAAATTGTATTTCAACACTTGTGTATCGAACGGTAGCCAACTTTGCATATACACACCATCCTCAATGAAGAATCTGTCAACATATGCAAACAGGCAGGTCAAGAGCGACTCCTCTTGACTTAAGAAATGAAGCCGTGACTGAGCAGGCCATTATTTAGAGCATGGCTACCTCAACCTCATCTGTATGAAAAGTTCCAGCTCATTACCTGGTTTCCATTGAGTTCCAGTTTACAGCGAGCCGCATATGCCAGCTGCTCTGACTTTTTGAATGATTTTCCTGTCTTTGACTTTCGGTTGTGTGTTGAAAGGTTGGAGTGGGTATGTGTATGGAAGGGATTGAACATAATCCAGTAGTGTATGAGCTCATGGGGGAAATGTCATTTCGCAGCGAGGCTGTACAGCTGGAGGTAAGACTATTCTGTGGATTTCTGGTGAACCCTTATTTATCATTTGATTCAGTCAATATGTTCTATCTCAACATAGTCCAGACAGCAAGGTAGAGCACATTTGAAATATTGGGACGTTAAAGATAGTGTGCGGCTAGATGCTTCTCGAAAGATATTCGTAGAAACCGATGCTGATCACAAGCGTCTGTAAGTAGTAGGTGTTTGTTAATTCAGATGGTAGTAGAGATGTCATTGCCATTTTTCATAAAAACGATGTGGTTCGAGTCTTTTTTGGTGTTTAAGGGAAGCCTTTTTCCTATGCCGCAGGATTGGATTTCTGATTATAGTTCAAGAAGGTATGGAACAGCTTCTGGAGGAGCTCAAGCAGCATGGAAAGTACTACATCATACCATTTACAACTGTCAAGATGGAGTCGCTGTAAGTAGTTTTCTGCTTTTTCGGGTTTTTAAAGTCCAAAATCCTAAACTAGAGTTTCTGGAGACTACTCGTCCATACAGGGAATAAGTAGATTATTCTTTACCTCTGATAACTGCAGTTGCACTTTACTATTTCTGAGTTAGGCAGATAAGTCTTTGTGCAATGTTTTAAACTTATCCCTCGCTTGAAGTACAGGGACTACGTTTTTATCCACAATTTGAATGTAGATCAAGGTGATGTCGTTTGTAGAGAAGTGTAGCACAGCAAGTTTTACGATGTGTACTTGCTCCTGCACATTTTTCTGCTGACCTATCACTGTCTGGTTATTTTCGTGAATTGATGCGTTCAGGACCATAATGGAGACGTGATCGTGGAGTTTCCTGATAAAAATCCAGATTTGATGTATGTTACTGGAAATAGAGATTCCCTTAAGCTGAGAGGATCGTTTAGTTTGAGTGGGATTCGTAAGCCAAGAGGAGGGGGGAAACTTGGGCATAATCCTCACTTATGGTATTCACAAGCAGATGCTGTCAGAGCTCTTGGTTTATTACTTTCATCTGCAGACGAGCTTGGAGAAGGGCTTCCCTACAGGTTAACGCCTCAAGATTCATGTTATTTACTCCGATTTGCTATCTTTCCGAAGTCTTCGGTAAATTTGAAGTTGTAACTGCTTGTTTGAGATTCGCCTCCTTGAGTGCATTCTGATTATGCAAGTTTACTGTTTTACTTGCTCCCTTAGATATGACTTAGTTGATTTGACCCGGCAAGTTCTTTCGAAGAGGGCGAATGAGCTGTATACAAACATACTAGCAGCGTATGGAAGCAGGAAGGTTGAAAATGTACAAAGATTTGGAAACAGTTTGTTGGAGCTATTTTCGGACATTGACAAGTTATTGGCATCCTGTGAGGGATTTCTGCTCGGGCCATGGCTAGAAAGTGCCAAAAATCTATCAACAAATCCGGAGGAGAAAATACTAGTAAGCAACAGGCTAACGGGACCAAATCCTGCAAGCTTCGACTTGCTTTCGGCATTAATCTCTTAATTACTAGTATTCTGGTCTGCAATTTCTCAAGAACTAAACCTTCACCTTGTTGTGGCAGTATGAATGGAATGCTCGGACTCAAATTACCATGTGGTTTGATAACACAGACGAAAAGCCGAGTTCTCTACATGATTATGGTACGTTGACTACCTTGAGAGGGCATCAGTTTGAGTCATCCCACAATTGCTTAACCACATTCAACTTCTCCTGCCTCACTTACAGTGATGCAATTCTATTATTCCGTGATGATGTTAGAGCTGCTTTTGAAATCGGTCAGGTTACTTTGCCCCAGTTTCCTCGTTTTGAAATCTCCCTAATACCTGTCTTCGTCAAGATGGCAGAATGCATGATGGTTAAGACCATATCAGGACCCGATTGTGTCACTCTATTTCTCTGGGCTGCCCATAGGTTACGAAGATAGAAAATTCACAAGAAAAAAAATACAAACAGCATGAGCAAAAGTTCACAAGTAATGACGAATATATCTATCCAGCACAAGAATCCTAGATTTTAAATTTATTACTCCAACAAGGAACATGTACTGTCTGAGTGTCGGAAGACACTCTCTCTGGAACATGGCAGATTAAGACGCAAACAGTCTGGAGTAGCACAATTAACAGGAACATTTAACTTCTTCCATTCTTGTTGAACTTTGGTAACAAGTTGTTGCATTCTGTAAGCGGCGTTAGTTTATGCCTATCAAGTGATAAGTGTATTCATCTGTGGGTTGTTTCCCCTAGTTTACGTTCCTATGCTTACTAAATGATTATAGTAGTCAACCCATGGTGAATTGGTGGTTTATTCCTCGTTCGAAGCAATACGTTGTTAGATACAGAACCTCATAAGAATCAGTTTCACAGTGAGCCACTTGTCTGTAGCCAGTATGAACACTCATGTTTGGTCAACATTTACATCTTTTCAGATGCTATGCAATTACCAAATGAACCATTGTAAACGCTCAATCTGAACTGACTTTTCCCTTGTCTACAGCGAACAAAATGTGGAGCGGACTTATCCAGGACTACTATCTTCCTCGGGCAGCTCTGTACATCAGTTTTTTGGATCATTCGCTACGTGAGAACGCAACCTTTCCGTTTGATATGTGGAGGAAACAGTGGATTCAGTTGACAAATAAGTGGCAAACGTCCCATCATTCTTACCCTTCGAAGACTGTAGGGGACAGCCTTCAAATTGTCAAAAAACTGTATATCAAGTACAACGTTCCTTCCAAGCTTTTGGTTAGTTCTTTATAATTGTACAATTGACACAAAGTCTTTTTGGTTTTGGTATCTGTACCTGCTCAGGCCGGAAAGCCAGACAAATTGTGGATCTTCTGAACTATCAATGATTGAGAAGCATCAGTTTTCTTGAATTAAGCTCGTACAGATGGTACAGCTCTGTGTTGTATTTGCTTGTATGTGCTTCGTTTATAAAAAGAATACGGGATGTAGACGGGGGTGTTGGTCTTATTTTAATGTGGGTTTTTATACACAAACGACATTTTGAGAATAAAACCAGAACAGCAATAATATTTTCTGGTTTAGGAATGAATACACATATGCTTCACTCTCAGTACTGACCTTGCACAATACTGGTTACTGCTCGAACGATGGGTAATTTTTGTGATTGTTGTTTCTCTAAATTATTGATAATTTAAAGAATGAGAGAAAGATGATTCACACTGTTTGTTAGATTTCAGACTGAGATTTGATCGAGGCGTCTCACTACTTCCCTCCAGTTTGCTTGTATTTTGTCAGGTTCTGCAATGAGGTTTAAAAATGGCTGGTCTTTACTGATTTGAGTCCATGGAGGTGACTAATTGTTGAAGGATTTGAGTATTTGATATTGCAATGCAAACGGCAATCTAGTTGATGTAATGCCCTGGCAGGTAACACTAGCTTACCAACAATGTACACAATTGATGATGTGAAGACAGAAAATGTGAGACTCAAAGCAAAATTATGACGCCAAAACATCATAATATCACAACTTTCTACAATAAAAATCCTTTTATGGAAGTGAATTAGAAGCAAATGCTATTGTCTCCATTCAAGGTTAGGCTATCATCCATTTCCATGAATATGTAGTGAAACAGGAGCATTCGACAAAGTGATATGATCCACCTCACTTATTACAAGGCTCACTGGCTTATTGGAGGTCACTCAACTTGTGACATCATCTTGCTCTTAGACTGTCAATATTTCCACCAGAGACATGCATCAAACCAAACATGACTCATGAGACTAAAGATAGCAGATTCATTCTTTGATACGAAACATAGTATTGCTCTCATTGACAATTCATTGGGAAAAGCAAAAGCATGATAGAGCAATAAAATCTCCAGTTCAATATTCTGTAACATGGGTCTCAACTACCCAAGTTCATCACGGTTTTTCGTACAGCCGTTAAAACTAGGACATCCTTTGATAGCACGTAGTGCAGATTGAATAGTATGTTATCAACGCAGCTAAAATATCTCATCCTCGTATCATACCATGCAATTTACTTCATAAGACTATAATTCGACTTTGATATATTGTTGGAGCGATTTGCATAAATTGTTAAAAATTATGTACTTTCTTCATGATGTTGGAAAAAAACATCGTTTAGTGACTTGTTGTTATTAATTATCAAAAGAGTTTTTTAACATCAAAATCATGTGATTTTCACATTACTTTGATGTTCATTCACTAGTAACAAATAACATTGCTGTTGTACATAATCTTAGTCAAGTCTTAAATTGATAATTTATTAAATAATGGATTAACACAAAATCAAACTACAATTGGTACAACTCACAAGATTACGCAATATCAATGTTATCAAATCTTTATGCAAAATTATTTATTAACTTCTTGCATTGTTCAAAATTAACCAAAAGAAAATTCTACTTTCTTCTCGGTAGAATTATGATAATTTTCTCAACAAGATCACTACCATTTCAAATGTAAAAGAAGATTTCAAAGTATTGACTTGGATATTGTAATTTTTCTATATTACATCTACTTATTACTTGTCATTACACACATATATATCTTTGATCTAAGACCATTGTGCATTTAAAAATCCAATCAAATAGCTTTTTTGGATATTGTTTGTGAATTGGTGTGTGATTTAATGATATATATTTTATAATTGTGAATGAAATCAAATGTATTATTTGAATTTTGGTATTTTGATCAATCTATCTATATTTTTTGACACATTTTACTTCATCCACATTTTAATTGTACTCAAAGATATATGTTGGACAATTGGTAATACTAACATCATTCGGGATGTGTGATGTAAAATTCAGTATGAAAGAAACAATTTTGCTAAATTCATATGGAATGATAGATTTTTTTTATCAATATAATAATAAATTATAGGAGCGTCTAGTTATTCCTCAGTTTAGTCTAATTATCCATCACCCTACATACTCTACAAAAGAGAGTTATGTGATTGGTAAAAGGGAAACAAAAATGCTTGCAATATCATGACAAGACATGGATCGGATGAAAAAATGTTAACGAGACTCAACGTGGGAAACAATTTCTGCGAAGACAAGTGAAAGAAGGAGAATCAAAATTAGTGCACAACATGAAAGCATGTGTCAACGAGACGAGTGCGCTTTAATTCTCGACATGAAGGAATCCATTGGATTGAGTGTGAGATAAAGTTGGAATTGACTGGATTACAATCAAAGTGCATGGCAGTATTGAATGTACAATCAATCAAATTTAGCTTTAGTGTGAAATCTACTTTTGCGCTAAAGTGAACTGAAGCACGGGGAGTTGTTATAATGCGCAATAGAAGTTAAATACGCAGCTGAGCTCACATGCATGATATAATGCTGATGCAAATTCATGCAGATTCATGGTTCCAGTTTGCTCTAACGCTTGAGGTTTCCCACACAACATTGGACGTTGCGATATCGGTTGTGCAATCTTCCGCGTTGAGTCAAGGCTACACCATCGTGATCAAGACCAGACGCATGGTTGATATCAAGAAAAATGGAACTTTCAAAAAATCTGATCTTGTACGTTGAGAGAATCTTCATGAACAACCGGTTGTTCATGAAGGTTCTTGCTAACGTAACACATCCAACCGTAACACTAGCTTTAAATTCAAAGCAAAGATCAACAACAGAGTAGTCGGCGACAAATCCAACTTGTATGGAAGATGCAAGTCTAATTTGTCAAACATAATCAAGACGCCCTTGCTCATTCCACCCCAATCCGCAAGGACGTGTTATAGGAGATCAACGAGAGACAACGTTTATTTTCAATCGTGCAGATGTTACAACCAGTAGATTGTTGCAACACTACGGCAAAATGAAGGTATACTTGCAACGACAAAAGACATCCGGAACTTAGGCCAAAAGGAGCGCCTTCGGATACTTGCAAATTGGTCTCCGGTTTCTGTATTGCTTGACAATTTAGCCGCTACTGAAAGCACACAATATTTTATCCTAACGCGGCTGCTGATCATATTGCCGTCGATAAAGGTAATTTGCAATAAGTATGATGCCGATCACGTCTTTTTACTTGATGCAACATACAAAACCAACAAATATGGATTCCTTTGCTGCACATTGTTTTTATGACGGCTATCTGCAACATCTTTATCTCTGACTAATGGTTTTTGCGTCAGGAGAAGTAGCAAGACTACATGTGGACATTCAGCAAGATTAAAACAATTTTCAACAATTTTGGTATTTCTCTAGTAACTTTTGTCACGTATCGAGAACTTGCATGAATAATCGCGATGAACACGTTGTTTTCAGATGTGGATATGCTACTGTGCTACTAATATATCAACAAAAACATATTTGCAAAACAAAAGAGAAACTTTGCGATTGAAGAACATTTGCAACATTTGTGGATGCTTGGAGTGTGCTGATCAGTTCAACGATCATCGAAGCCTATGACACACAAATTGCTGCGATGCACGACAACTTTTTGAATTACATCAAATATACTTGGCTTCTTTGGAAGTAAAAGTATGTATTGGTGCAATTTTTGACTCATTGATGCAATATTCATACTTTTGATATAATTTGATTGTATTAACGCTGTTTTGTTGAATTTTATAAGTTTATCGTTGTGTTTTTGTGCGGTAAGAAGCATTATATACATTCTTCCACCTCGCGCATAGATTGTGCGGATGTTGTGATGAAAAAATGTTTGAGTTCCTCTTCAAGTGATCTTATGTCAATGTTTACTACGCTATAGCTTGCGTGCAACGGCCAACTTGTAATAATAATCGAGCAAAACGCAATAGAGCATATCATCGCGGAGATGCAACTTGGCCATATGTTTCGCAATGTTCTTGGCAAAATTTTAATCGAAGGATTGAAACAAGAGTACAAGTAATACAAAATGATCAGTCCACCACCAGCTGAGCAACATGAGTGTCAGCGCATATTGTCAAGCTATAAGCACGCATTTCAGGTTTGTACGTTGCCTTTGTCGGTGGACAAGTTTGATGTAGTCTGCACGTGTTCCACGATTTGAGGCACTGCTGACTCTAAATGCTACGCCGCAGACTACAGCTCATGAATATGCCCACGCAGCTTCACACCGCCATGTCAAATCAGTATCTACGGTTGAGATATGAGAGCTTGTGAGCACATCAATGCGCAGCCAACCGACCAATTTAACATGCAGGCTGACTTTTGAGTTTCAGCACGTTGAGATTATTTACAATATACTTTTTTGAAATTCAAGTTTCAGTAAGTTCTACATATAGTTTAGTGAATCTAATAGTCTTTTCAAATACTTGGTTATAATATAGCTATGACAAAGATTAAAGCTACACTGTGGCTTAACTATACATTAATGCTTTTTAATGTACCCTAAAGTTTAGTATAGTAGTCATAATAGTTGCACTAGTTTTTCTTTCACACAAAAATGGTTGAAACAAATCCATTTATCTACATTTGTTAATATCAAGTATGAGTAATATTACACATAAAGCAATATGTTGAAGAATATAATGTGTAAGCATATAGATCTATTAAGATTTTTCATATAAGTTATAACATACTGTGTTACACAAAATATGCTTCTAAGAAAAAGGAATAAATATTGATTGCAAAAAAATTCGTTTATCTTTAATGTAAATGACAAGTTTAGATCATATAATAAAAACACAACGTTTTGAATTAAGGTCAATTTATATGTAAATAATCAAGATCTTCAAGTTTAGGTCTATGTATCTTAGAATTTAAATTTTGGCTATAAATTTGTAGATGTGGATTTTGAAATGCTTGATAGAGCTTAAGCAAGATATCAGCATTTTAGATGGGAGTGTAGTCAATCTTTTTAGCCTACTCTAAACTACTCTAGATACCACTTTTCTATCAATTTACAAAGAAACACGAGTAGGTTATATACAAAGATGATTAAATATGTTAGATGATGAGGTGTCTGATGTTTATAATCTATTTTTTCGTGTCTAGCCATTGGTGTTTTCCAGTTTCATAATCGTAAGACTTGATCGGATGTTTAGACCTTTTTTTTAATCATTTTATCATTTTGCGTGGCTCTTATTCCCATGTAATTTTACTCCATTTGTGCAGTATTCTCTTGGCCACGGGTTTACTTTCACTGTCCTAAAGAATTACATGTTTAGTTAATAGCTTTGGCCCATTATCCTCGTGAATTCTCGACACACAAAACGAAAATCCACAAAGTATCTCCTTCTAGAGGAGCTATGTCGTCTTCCCATAATATCGTCCTACCTGAACCTACTCCCTAAAGGCGTAGTACCAATCAATGAAATTTTGTTCACGCCTGATTCACACATCTTCCTGCCTCCCCGACCTCGATGCCAAGCTGAAGCTTTGCTCTACGAAGCACCGGCCACATCTCACCACTTTCGCACGCTCCGAGTTCGAATCATACCTTGCAAGGTCTGCATGCTGCTGAGCCAAAACACGAGCAAGAAGGCAGGCGACTGAAGTTAGAGCCTCAAGCCGAGGACGTCTATTCCATCATGGATATTCATCAGTGCACCGAATTGCCAGAATGCCACGTACCAAATTACATACCTTGAATTTGAGTTTAGGAGCGCGGAGCCACGGATCGGAGCACAGCCAAATCGGACAGGAACGTCAGAATCTGCTCAGCATTTGTCGTGAGGAGGAGGGTGCGGGTGCGGCTGAGAAATCCGACCGAGGAGCAGCGAAGAGCCGGCCCATTGGCACCACGATCAGCGAAGTCGGAAGGCTTCTGGAACCATCCACGAGCTAGGGCCTCCTCGTCCCACTTCCCGTCCACTCGCGAGGCCGGGGCAATCACGCCTCTCGCAACAGAAATCCAGCCAGCGAGGGGTTTAGGGTTTTGATCTCGCCCCGTCCCGTCTCTCCCGACCACCCGTGCCTCACCTGCTACAGCAGGTCGTCCGGAATATTCGTGCGCTCCGTACCTTTTTAAAATGCCAGTCCGCTCGCCGGCCTGTGCTCCATCAAAGATCTAACCTCTAGCATCTCTGAAACTCGCCATTTTTCTGGGTAAATTATAATTACTCTCTCGCCAGACCTGAAAATCGAAATTTTGGGATGCAATAAAATTCTATGCGATATTTCCGACAGATTCGAGATGAATATCTATGGCGAGCTGTTGTATGCGTTTTATTCGCTGATTATATTAACCCGGAGGTGGGGTTTAGTTTAGTCGAGTTTGTGGAGAAACTCGCCGGTTTTTTGTACTTTTAGGATTTATGCAAAATCTCAATTGAATTCTTGCCAGACCTTAAAACTCCTACGCGATACAGATACGAGATGAATATCTATGGCTGGCTGTTGTACACGCTACTTTTCTTTATCTGTTTAATTCGCTGCTTAAATCAACCCGGAGGTGGGGTTTAGTATAGTTGAGTTTATGAAGAAAGTCGCCATTTTTTTTTTTACTGTACCTCTATGGTTTCAGTAACGTATGATTCAATTTCTCGCCAGACCTGAAATCAAAATTTTGCGATGCAGTAAAATCGTCGCGATATTTCTAACAGACATGAGTTGAAAATCTATGGCTGGCTGTTATACACGCTACTTTTCGGTATCTGTTCAATTCGCCGGGTATATTAATCCGGAGCCTCCGGATTAATATACCGGAGGCATGGCTTGGTTTATTTTATTTTACTTTATTTAGGGAGAAAGTGCTGGAGCAATTCCACTTGGCGAACGGTATTAGATCAAGCCCGTGGGACCCGAAGGGTCAAAAGTCAAAAAACACAAAACAAATCATCCACTGGCAGCCAAGAGAGAACCCTCTCTAGAGCACTAGAACGAAGATCGATAAAATTTCTAACATAAGAGACTAAATCGTATATAGAAATTCTGTATACCAACCTTACGAGCAACTCTAATATCAATATATATGATACAAGTAACAAACACATACTCTTCGTACTCAATATTGTGGCATAAATTGCAAAATCGTTCATTTCTGGCAATATTATGCTAACGTCATTGCGAATGGGAAACATGAGAGAATGTCGGTCGAGGGAGGCGGAGGGCAGCCGGTGGCAGCGCGACCCGATGCGCCACAGGGCTTTCCATTGCTGACCGGGAGGGTTTTAGGGTCGAGGTCCCCCCACCTCCCCCAGCGGAGAGGGAGGGCCTCGGACGAGCAGCGGACTCGGAGAGCCAGGCTGACACGACGACGAAGAGGACGACGACGACGAGAGGAGAGCAGCAGCAGAAACTGCTGGAAGACATAGACGCGCGCGTGCGCTCGCTGCCATTTGTTAATGCAGCTGCTGCCCTTCGATGCCTCTCGTAGTCCAAGCGGCCGCCCTAGACTCTGATCTCTGAGCTCCGGCCCGAGCCCGTTTTTGCAGCACCCCTCGTCGCTCGCTGCCATCAAAATCCCTCCACTTTTTGCTCCTTCGTCTCTCGACCAGTTCATCTAGTTAGCTAGCGAGCGAGCAATCATGTACAGAGCGGCTGCAGCGGTTGCTTCTGCTGTTGTCAGGTGCGTTGGATCCGGAAGAGTTCCTCGTATGCTCGGCTCTGTTTCCTTGTTAATTTCCAGCTTTGGCTTCGGTGAGGTTTTGCACTCGTCGCCGAGTTGCGTGCGATCTACGTGATGTCGGTGGTCGTTTGGATTCGGGAACGGGCAAAGATCTTGAGCTTAGATGCGCATTTTGTGTGATTTGCGGGTACCGTGGTGCTAGCTGGGTCCCTTTCTTTTCCTAAAGGCAGGCTTGTATACGTGTGCTGAATTTTGTTTCGCCTTCTGCGAATAATCCGTAACACTTGGGAAGTCAAAGAGATCTGCTCCTCGTCCTGTGTTTGTGACCTCTCTCGTTCAGTTCCTTTGCCCCGTCACCATTTTTTTTTTGTTAACTACTGAGAAGTGAATAAATTTTATGGGAAACCATCAGATTCCACGTGTTGAGAGACTAGTTTGATGTTCTGGTATTCAATGCAATGCCTGTCCAATTCTCTCCTCACCTCACCCCTAAGTGCAATGCTGAGCTGAAGAGAAGCCTATTTTCCAGAAATACTACTGAACCCACTTGTCCTTGTAAGATCAACAGATCAGCTGAATGTCGTCGCGAATAGAGCGATCGGCTTCCAATGAATCATCTGATAATGTTCCCATTTAAATGTTGAGTCGATCACATATTGTGACCTGATCAATAGCTTGCCTCGCATGCTCAGATACCGTTTGACCTCCATCTAGTGTGAAACATCGTCTTTTCTCTAAAATCTCAGAGCTGGGAAGTCTGTACCCCCAGTCCGCACCAATTTTAGCCTCACTTTGAGCACAGTAGAGTCAGTTACATGCGGCGTCGGATGCACCTCTTTGCTTGAGGACAATGACTTCTGGACATCGCTCCATTCCAGTACATATGCATACTAGATGCAGGCTATTCAACTCACACGACCTGATCTGATCATTTATACGCTGTCATTATCTTGTCTGATTATGCAGGGCCGGGGCCCGACAACAACGAATCCAGCCAGTAAGGATCCATACTTTTTCTCCCGCTCACACTCTCATAGATAGCTTATGAGAAGTTCAAATCTCGTGAAGTGAGGTGACAGTAGTACGCCAGAGCTTGAAGAAATGTTTTGATTACTTCGCGCAAACTGATAGACGTAGCTCACATGAGTTCTTCTGCATCGCAGAGTTCGAACAGGCAGTGGGTCAGGAATTATGCTGCTAAGGACATCAGATTCGGCGTGGAAGCCAGGGCTCTTATGCTTCAGGGTGTTGAGCAGCTCGCAGATGCCGTGAAGGTTACAATGGGTCCGAAGGTACGGTAGCATAAGCTAGCTGTCAATTTTTAAGTTGGGATTAGTACGCAATTGTTGTTAAGGCTTTGTTTGAGAGATTAATTTCTGTCTACCGGAATCTATGGTTGATCGCCTATTTTCATACTGCAGGGACGAAATGTTGTTATCGAACAGAGCTTTGGCGCGCCGAAGGTTACCAAGGATGGTGTTACAGTTGCCAAAGCTATTGAGTTCAAGGACAAAATTAAGAACATTGGAGCAAGTCTCGTGAAACAAGTGGCGAACGCTACCAATGATGTTGCTGGCGATGGTATGGCGGTTCTTACTGCCGTCAGTCCATCATGCTTTCCTGTTTGTAATTTGGTTCATCACTTATAACCTGGTTACTTCTGGTGCTTATGGCTGCCCCGCTGTACGAATCTGAGGCCGGTAAGAGACTGAACGAGGTCTGACTGCATTGCCTTCGAAATTTTCGAAATCTGCAGGAACTACATGTGCAACTATTCTTACCAGAGCTATCTTCTCTGAGGGTTGCAAATCAGTAGCAGCCGGTATGAATGCCATGGACTTGAGGCGAGGTATCAACCTGGCAGTTGACTCAGTTGTCGCGCACTTAAAGAGTAGGGCAAAAATGATCAGCACTTCAGAGGAGATCGCCCAAGTGAGTTGTCAAATATGGATTCACGAATTTTTGGTCTCATCCGTCAATCAAGAGTACTTGCAGAGAAATTGATCGGTTTTACTGTTGTATATGCTTGACTATGTGAACGTGAATCTGTAACTGCAGGTAGGAACTATCTCTGCAAACGGAGAGAGGGAGATTGGTGACCTGATCGCGAGGGCTATGGAGAAAGTGGGAAAGGAGGGAGTGATAACTGTCTCGGTAAGGGAATACGCTTCGAGAAACCAGAGACGTTTGTCATTACGTGTATGAAAGAATCTTGTTCGCTTTCGTTGGAGTTCGGGGCGGCTACCGGATCTCTCCAGAGGTCTGAAGTGGACGTCCATAGCTCGTTTTCACTTTGTTATTACATGGTCCTAATGTCCGTTATACCTGATTGCTATGAGTAAAATCTGCAGGACGGTAAGACTCTGTACAACGAGCTTGAAGTCGTGGAGGGAATGAAACTCGACAGAGGTTACATCTCTCCATACTTCATCACCAATATGAAGACACAGAAAGTTGTAAGTTCTGACTGGCTCTTCTGAAGTACTCAGGATCATAAGTGCCATCAGTGCTGTGACTGTTTTCTTGAGATTTCATGAAAACCATAATAATGTTTAGAAAACAAGCCTTTTGCTTATTCTTGTTGTGGATTTACTTGATTCTACAGGAGATGGAGAACCCAGTCATTTTGATTCACGAGAAGAAGATTTCAGGGCTGAACTCTATTCTGCCACTTCTGGAGATGGTCGTGAGGGTAAGTCTCTTCAAAATATGTAGAAATTGCAGGAATGCATGCGTAAGATGAAGACAGCTACGTTCATAGTAGTAAGTCTGAAGTCTCCGTTCTGGTTGCTCTTGATCTGAACGTATTTCATATGCCCATACAGGACCAGCGATCACTACTGATTGTAGCTGAGGATGTGGAGAGTGAGGCCTTGGCCACATTGATCGTGAACAAGCTGCGTGGAGGTGTGAAGGTACGTTGCATACATACGCAATGGACCTACTAGCACCCTCCTTATGCGACGGACGACCTGAAAGTAGGATCATGAAGGAACATCAGCCAATGTATGACGGTGGACCGCGATGTGATCGAAGTACAGGAGATTTTTGCCTGAAGTATTTGGTTTAACACATCCTATGTATCTTTGCAGGTCTGTGCCGTCAAAGCACCAGGATTTGGAGAGAACAGGAAGGCTAACATGCAGGATCTTGCTATTCTCACTGGTGGTCAGGTGGGCAATGCATCTCCTAACAGCTCTTGATTGATTCTAGCACAACAAATTTTTAATACCTTGCTTCATATGAAGTCAGTAACTTACCTTCTTTTACTACTCGTATTCTGCAGTTGATCAGTGAGGATTTGGGGCTGAAGCTCGAGAAGATTCAACTCAACATGCTTGGATCTGCGAAGAAGGTTCGAATCAGATTATGCTGTTGATGTTGGACATAGGGGATTTTGTCCTGAGTCTATGAAGAGCTTCTTGAAGTTTATCGTACCTTCCATTGACCAAGGATCAAGGAATCTCTTTCCCAGGAAATGTATGTGTTCGTAGTTATATTTCTGTTCACAGGCTAAATTTGGGAATTTTCTGGAGACAGGTGACCATCTCGAAGGACGACTCCATTATTCTTGACGGTGCTGGTGACAAGAAACTGATTGAGGAGAGAAGTGAGCAGGTAAGCCCATTGTTCAGTACTCAATAGCCGTTTCAAGGTCCACCGCATGGTAATAAGCGTGAGATAGTTTGGGAGGAGGTAAATCATTAACTTGCCCGGGTTTTTTCACGCAGATTCGGGAAGCAATCAACAATGCCACCTCTGACTACGACAAGGAGAAGTTGCAAGAGCGATTGGCCAAGCTGTCAGGAGGTGTTGCAGTTCTGAAGGTCAGCTGATACGTACCATTTTGTGAGCTGACTATTCCGATTTGTACTTTGAGAAGGGAGTCGGGTTGCGATTTCAGTTAACTAAACGTGCTATCGGTGTCCATCCTACCAGATTGGTGGTGCTAGCGAGATTGAAGTAAATGAGAAGAAGGACCGCGTTACCGATGCTTTGAATGCTACCAAAGCCGCTGTCGAAGAGGGTATTGTTCCCGGTAAGATATCCGTCTTCGCGGTTCGATTTTCCGGTCAGAAATCCTGTCAGTAGATTTGGATCTCATCGATTGACTTCTTTGTGATCAGGTGGTGGTGTTGCCCTGCTCTACGCTTCACGTGAACTCGAGAAAGTCGCAACTGCAACCGCCAACCTTGACCAAAAAGTTGGTGTGCAAATTATCCAAAACGCCTTGAAGGTACGAACTCCGTGCGCTTCGGCGTTCTGATCCAAATTTTGTGATTTGCTGTGAAGATTTATATGGTTTTTTAGCATACGTGCGTTATTTTGACATGTGGCTTCAAACTGACTCTTTAATTCCGACCCCAACAGATGCCTGCTTTCACCATCGCTCAAAACGCCGGTGTGGAAGGAGCAGTTATAGTCGGCAAGCTTCTGGAGCAGCAAAACTTGGAGATTGGTTACGATGCTGCCAAAGGTCCGCCTTGTTTTGAAGTTAGGAAGGATCTAGTTTTCGCCTTATGAAGAGAATGTTGATTCCACCCGCAGCTGAAGCGTTTCCCTAGTTGGTTTTATTCCAGATCATGTCATGATGGTAGGATTTCCACTGACGAAATTGTTTTTCCTTGACAGGTGAGTACGTCGACATGGTGAAGGCCGGTATCATAGATCCGGTGAAGGTCATAAGAACAGCTCTGACAGACGCTGCCAGGTACGTTGTGGAACAACTCGTACACTCATTACAGTCACTTCATGCATGGAATGATATGCCTCTTCTGCAATCTGAGACTGATCCAAATCTTCCTCATGCCATTCAGTGTATCCTCTCTCCTGACGACAACGGAGGCCGTCATAGCCGAGTTCCCGAAGGAGGAGAGTCCTGCCGGCGGTATGGGAGGCATGGGAGGAATGGGGGGCATGGGCGGTATGGACTACTGAGATCTGTAGACTACTCGGAACAGCGAATTGAAAGCATGAACGATTGATCAGCATCGATTTTCAGGATTAGCACTTTGAAAATTGAGTTTTCAAGCCATACCTCGAAGTGCCCTGGATCCAGGCCCTGGGGTTGGGGGTTATGGTTCGGCAGAAGTTTACCCCATAGAGCATAGGGAGAATTAGGTTGTAGATCAGAAGTGCCAGTCCCGCTAGGTGTTCGTGACGTAAAATGTAATTAAAGAGAAAATTTTGTTTTTTTAGCTTGATTCATGCCCTTACTTTAAATAAATCGAATAGAAATCTTAGATGTTGAGCAGCCTTGTACGTACCTTCAGAGCTGCCTTGTTGGAAAGTTTCATCGAATGGAAGCTGGTTGCTCCGAACTTTCAAGCTGACTACCTCGTACCAGTCAATGGGTATTGCCCCCGAGTGATCTCAGCGAAATCGCCCTTCCGAGCTCGTTGACGGTTGTCCACAGCATTTGAGCGCATGTTGTTGTCCACCAACAGAGACGAGATCACACTAAAACTATGTGCATGAGATATCGGCTGTGTGTGGACAAAAGAACAGTGGACTCAAGGTGGCTTATCAGTATGGTGGAGTAGAACTTGTGCCTCGATCGAGCCGTGATCGATGTGATTGCCACGCATTAGTTACAAACCAGTGGCATTTGTTCATGTATTTCATGCATGCGTACATGAATAGAGTAGATCTCAATGGAATAAAGGCGCATTCAAACCCTTTCAGATTACTCCCCAAGGGCTGTAAAGTTTGACATATCGTCCATCTTTGAAGCTTGAAGGTTGAATGATACTCTTTGTTTGATACTTCATCTCATAACGAAATGTACATGTATGTATAAAGGACTAAAATGAACCAATTAAACTGAATTTTAACCACGGTAAACTCTAAACTTTAAACCATCGCGATGTCTCACTTGTCCCAATGTTTAGTATGACTATTTGCATTAAATATATGACAAGTTTTGAACAGAATTAAGTTAAGCATCATGTCCAAAACTGATTGAGAGCTAAAACCTCCCATGAGATTAGTTATCAACTAAAACGTATAGTCGATACTCTTCTACATTTATCTTAACCAAGTGCGTATATGCGCAAAAGAAGTTACAGTATATACAAGTTACGTTTTGAAATAAAATAAATTTACGAATTGCTTCTCGACTATTGATAATAATAGTGTTCATTGTATGTTACATGTATGAAATAATCAAGCTACTATTCTTCAAACCCTAGGTAAAAAAACTATACAAGCAATATCAGATTATAATGTCAACAAGAAAATCAACGTGAAATTACAGGAAATATGTTTTGAAGTTAATGAAAACTTTAGAGAGTCGAATACTAAACCTACAAAATAAACATGCAATTTAGCATTCTATGGTCTTTCAATATACTTAATGAATGGCAAGAGCAATTTTTTTGTTTAATATAACTTAGTCTTGTATATTTTTTTGAAGTTTATTCATAAGAAGAACTTTAAAAAATAAAATTAAAGTAGTATTGGATAAGAAATTGATTTTGTAGATTCACAAATTTTTTTTTCAAAATCATTATCGAACCTTAACATACTATGTTTGATCTTATAGAATTGTTTAAGAAATCATAAGTAATATTTTAAAATAAATTAAATCATAATCAATACAATAAATTAGTTTTTTTTTTAAATCTTGATCTTAAATGAATAATTTGTGTTTAAAATTTTTGATACAAATCACATGATAATTTTGAAGTTTGCTAGATGATAAATTTTTTGCTAGAAGCACAAGAAAATATAATGTTATGTTGAAATGTATATTTTAATAGAATTTCAATTTTTCATATTGAAAACATTACAACTTTAATCATCTATTTTAACATTCTAGATGTCAATCAATCAATGAAATAAACTCCAGACTAAATTACAAACATTATTATTTTCTAGACATGTTATGTTAATCAGTTTAATTTCTTTTGCAAAATTTTACTTGCAGCATTATTGAAAAATTTCACAAAATCATATATTTTGATGCATTAAATATTTTTTTTTGTTAAAGATGATCATCAAACATACAATTTTTTAACATTGCAATTCAAAAATGTTAGAAGAGCTCAAAAGATAGTTTCTTCAATCAATTGAATTGCATGTAAGACTATTAATAAATACATTTTTTGTTTCAATGTGCATCATAGGTAAATGTTTACAATGTTTTAAGTATATAAAGATAAAAGCATTATATTTATTCATAAATTTTATCAAAGTTCTAATTTTGTTACATGTCTCGCAATTTGCAAAACTTTATCAAGTTTTAAATATTATTTTCAGCAAAATTTTGTCACAAACCTGGCAGAAGCAATGACGTTAGGTGACAAATAATAACCAAACTTTTACCAACTTTAGAAACTGTGCCAACTTTTCAATTTTAGAGGTTTCTGTTAGCATTCTAGAGTATAAATAAAGTGTCTCTAGACATTATCCTGCACTACTATACATCATTTGTACATATTTTTATAGTTCGATACAATTTCTAGTATTCTTGCTTCAATTAATATTACTTCCAGTTTTAAAGCTTCAAGTGCTATTTTAAGTCATGTATGAGACATTGTTTGCAACAGTTTGATGAGATTTAATTATCAAGATTTGCTAATTCATTTACTTGTAAAGCTTCAAACATATCAAAATCAAAATGGATGAAACTTCAAACATACAATTGCCATGTTGCAACCGTTACAACAAGAAATTGCCGGTCTACGAAATGCCATGAAACAACTCCAAGTTGCTCACGCTTCCATGTTTCAGCTCATGAAGCAAATCAAGTTACTCAAGCGTCAAAGCTCCGTCAAACTTCTTTAGCAAGCATTAGCTTGCTAAAGAAGTTTGACGGAGTTCGCACAAAAATTCAAAATGTAATCAATCAAATTCATTCTTCATTATATCTCCTATCACATAAAATTTTTAACAAAAGAAACACATCTTGGATTAATTTGATCACTAGTTGCTCATTTGAACCACATTGTTTCGGTTTTTGTCACTCTAACAAAATGATTATTACTTTATGCAAATTTTGATCAATTCTTAGAAAATTTAGTAGTAGGTTTGAAAAGAGATCAAACTCCTATAACGATAACAAAACTTCAAACATTGCAACATGAATCAAGTCGTAGATTTTCAACGACTTGCATATGACTTTCATTAAAACAATATGATTATCATGAACATGTTTGGATGATAATTCTGGAATGATATGAAAATCTTGATGCTAAACTTGCCCAGATCAACTACTTTGTCAAAATTTATCATTCAAGCAATTGATTGTAACAACCAACTATTTAAGCATCGAGAGTATTAACAATTGCTCTTTAGTATGTATGAAGACATTCAGAAGTTTATTATAAAGACAAGGATCATGACAATCATTGATGAAGCTGCACACTGCTTCACTATATGTCAAGTAGCAGAAGTCCATTTTACATATGTCCAAGTCAAAATCTTGGAATTCATTTTTTTCAAGAAGTTCTATTTTGGATCAAAAGAAGATGAAAATAGTCACTAATTGAAAGAAACATGTTATCGTTCGATAATACAAAACTTTTTTGATTTAGCGACCTTCTATTAAATCTTCATTCAAAACTATTCCAAGAGTGCTACTTTGTTGACTTCATTACTAGAAAAAAAAACTCAAGTAAAATGTGAAAGCAAACCAATCATTTAAAACTCGGAAGAAGGAAATTAAAACAACGTCAATTCCAAAGCATTAGTCATGATGTTCCTCATTGCCATTTTTTCTAAGAAACAAATGCTATTGTAGTTTGTACTTAAAGCAATTTTTTTACAATTCATCGAAGAAGTACGCCTTCATCATGTCAAATTTGATTTGCAGAAATTTGTTGCTACCGAGATCATTTATGAAATTCTTGTCAATGAACTCTTATTCATTGTTTACTCGTTCCAAAAATGATTGACATTTTTTCAAAAGATCTCAACATCTCATCATGATCTACACCAATCATAATAACCTTAAGTACTTCATGTTTGCCAAGGTATTGTAAGATATGTAGTTGTATGTGTGAGTTGTTATTTGAAATAATCAAACTATTCACCATGGTTAGTTTAGTTATGATTAAGTTTAGCTAGGTATGACAAAATCTAGCTACGAAATCTATACATGACAGATAATTGGAAAATTCTAAAAAATAAATAACTGTACTTTTGTCTTTTATCAAAGTCTACAATTTAAGTATTGAAGTAAACTTTCACATCACTTAGCTGTCATATCTTCATGCATCATTCGCAAGTACATTTTTGTTGATCATGTTATATTTTCCTCATTAGATATTTGTGTTAGCATTCTGATACTTCATGGAACAATTAGGCCTAAATACTACAAAATAACACTTTATAATTTTACTATCTTGTTAACTATGTATGTTACCTCTCTCAATGAATACATGATTAAATTGATATTTTATTAATTTTTTTAAATTGATTGGAGATTTAGTTGAATTTTACTTTACTTTATTTCAACCATATATTTAAGGTAATTATATATAGCTCTAATCAAATACAAAATTTTCACAAATTTGAGATGTTTATATTTTTTGTTGATAATTTTTGTTTGTATTCCAAATCTATCAAAATAATTTTGTTTCTCAATCATTTTTATATACGTAGTAATCTTACTTTAGATAGCATACTTCACATATTAGGTATGTAATATGCAACTGATTTTGATGCTTTTCAATATTTGCACTTTGAATGTCACATTGGACAGCTTATTTGTAATAAGCATCTTGTTCATTGGGACATATTTATTTTTGAATCAATTCAAGTTTTTTTTCTAAAAAATAATATTTTTAAACTTTTGATTCATTGTTGTAGTGCATAAGAATAATTATCAGGTTAAATTTTTGATAAGTGTGTTATATGTCATCAATTTCTGAATACACACTGCACAGATTTTATAAAAATATAAAACATTCATGAAACACAAAAATTTAATATTTTACATAGCTTTGATATTGATTTTAAACATTATTTTGAAATTATTTTTAAGAATCTTGTTCAAAGTAAGACAAATTCAAATGTGAAAAACATTTGGCTGTTGAAGTCAATAATTTGCGGAGATTCTAGTCAATGAAACTTGGATAATTCTAAAAAAAAGCTTGAATTTTCAAATTTTGGCATCAGAAGATATTGAGGCCTGATAATCCTTGCCCAAAGTCTGATTTGAGAAGAGCTTGAAACAACACTTCAGAATCTGCTTGAAGAAGATATGACTTTCAGCACAAACTTTGAATTGGAGCTCAAATTTATTACCATTCCATGAAGTAATTACTACGTAAACTATTCACTTCGTTCAAGTAAAGAATTGTGAAGATTTAACATAAAAAATAATAACTTTTATCATCTAAGAATATCTGTAATGTACATTTATTATTTTACATTTATCTGTAATGTAAAATTTTTATTATTTATGAATTTATATAAAATATTTTTCTGAAATATTAATAATTTGTAATATCTATGAATCTTTATAATCTTGATTTGTGAAAAAATAATAAATATTATTATCCATGAATCTCTATAATCTATATTCTTGAAAAATTAATAATTTGTAGTATCTATGAATATGTATAATCTATATTTTTGAAAAATTACAAGTTTGTATTATGTATGAACCTTATTATCTAGACTCGTGAAAATTATTATTTTTTATCATTTATGAGTCTTATTAATATATATTTTTGAA